CCAGATAAATACAATTGCTTATAAATTACAAAATAATTGGAAAAGTAATTTCTACATTTAGCTTACTAATCACCCTCTTCTATTTGCATGTGTGTTTCAAGTAGTGTTTCCGTGTTACAGTTATACTTGCATGCATTTGTGTAATACTTTGACTATAGGACAGCAAATAAAATTGTTAGAGCTCTTTGTATCTATGCTCTTCATTCGAAAAAGTTAAGACTACTGTCTTTCAGCTTGTTTTTAGCAAGTATGATCTTAACCAAATAATTATTTTCTTTGTACAGTTTTTTAGAGCCCTTCAGAGCTCTTTAATTACATTAGTTCTTCTGAAAGCATCTGCACTCTTAAAAAAAGATTGTATCTTTTAGTCACATGAAAATATATTCCTTGCCATAAGCATAGCATGGAGTCTCCTATGTAGTTCTCAATTTTACTTGTAAAGAATGTTGATAATGTTCTAGAGCCACACAATTTTTTGCATTAAACAATCTGCTGTTTATTGTGCTGATACTTCTGATTTCAAAAGTGTTGTAAATTGTCTTAAGGATTTTGCATTTCCCATATAATTTTCTCAAACCACTTTTGGGGGTCATATTTTTGAAATTGGTAATCTTAGTACCAAACTAAATTTTACCAGCCTGTGCTTTGACATACTTAAAGCAAGAACTTGCTCTGCTGCGGTGTAGCAGCAGAACTGTTTGTGGCATGGTATGTTTAGACATACAAAATGTATTAAGAGCAGCTGTTGATGGCTGTATGACTATCGGGAAAGCAGCACAAAGTAGATATCTGGCTAGTGGTGACTTGTGTTACCAGATGACTAAAGAAACAGTTTCAAAGGGAGACAAATTGAGGGGGGAAAGTCCTTTGAAATGACACCCAGATCTGTGCTGTCCTGTTTTCTACTACCTTGGCAGCATCAACTCCAGTACATTTGTTGTTGTTGAATTTTGGTAACAGTTTTAGAGCATAACACAAATTATCTTTCAGGTATGATCCCAAAACAGACATGTGGACTGCTGTGGCCTCCATGAGCATTAGCAGAGATGCAGTGGGAGTGTGTCTTCTTGGTGACAAGTTGTACGCTGTTGGAGGGTATGATGGGCAAACATATCTTAATACCGTGGAGTCTTATGATCCCCAGACAAATGAATGGACACAGGTATAGTTTCTGATCAGAACATACACTACTATTAATATTGTTATTTCAAATGTGCCTCCTTTTTCAAGGAGAATTCAAATATTCCTTCTCCAAAAAGGAGTTTCTTACTAGTCTGTTGTGAGTCTCTTTTTTTCCTTTGTGTACCATTTTGAGATGACTTCTCTTGAACAGATAGTTGTTAATTTCCAATAAACGGCCCTCCTTTCTTTTTCAAGAGTATAGCTATTTTCTTTGACGATTTCAGCTACTTTTAATAAAATGTATTGCCACATTCCCCAAACTGTCATAAAGGATTCTGTTTACATGACTTCCTGTTCTGAAGATAAATGATAAATGTAGATTAGTTTTAGCTCTAATGTGTCTTTCAACATTTATTTCGTCAAGGTTTTGGTCATTTTTTCACAAATATTCCCTTCCTGAGGTGAATGCTATGTGGAGTGCATGCAGGTTCCAGAAAGCCTTTACCCATTTTTCTTTTTGCAGTTTTAAAATAAAAATAATTCTACAGTTCATGCCCAGAAACTATTATTGTCAGTTCAGAGCTTGGTTACTTTTGTATAGCTCCAGGAATGTGTCTCTCTGTGGGAAGAGCACACACAAGGACATCCTGAGCTGACTGTCCTTTGGTATCTAATGCCATTTGAGATACCCTAAAGTGTCTACATCCACAAAAGGTTGGCAAATGCAGCACAGACTCTGTGGGACACCAAGGCCCTCCTGGAGTCCAGTTGCAGACCAGGATGAATGTCCAAGCTCATCTGTAGTAGCATCACACACCAGTATTTACACTACTGAATTCTGAGCCACCTGAATATGTTATTCTGGTAGTAGCCCCAAATTCATAATTTAAAAGGAGAACTAAACTGCTGTTTATAAAAATCTCTGGAACACAAAAAAACTCAGATGTCCATTTCCCTCCATTTCATACTGCTGCAAGCTCTTAAAACACAAATCATCAAGGAGGATCATAAGAGCTTGGGGCATTCACTGGTACTGGTAATGATAGCCCATGGCATTGTTAGTCCTGCTAAAGAAAAAAAAAAGGTGTATCAGAGGACAAAAACTGCTTCTCACCAGAGGAGAGAAACTGTGCTTGTCACCATTGCATCTAAATGAATCTCACATGTCTAGGTGGTGACCATCTGTGTGTACCTCTGTATCCTTAGCCTTGACGCTTTATGGCTCACTGACTGCCACAATCCCAGTATATAGGATAGCTTCAAACTTTTCCCAGGGGAATTAGGAAATATTTGTGTACCTTCCTTCTCTTGTTATGTCAGCAGTCTGCCACCTCTTCATCTTCACACAACTCAGGAGAAGGCAGTGGAATTTTCTCAGGTGAAAATTCTGTCTGTGTCAGAGCCACAGACAGCTCTATAAAAGTCTATTACTCCTGGGAAAAAAAAAGAAATAGGGGAGTTGGCATAAACAGCTTTTTTTGTCTTCAGGATAGTCTCTGTACCACTTGGTGTGCTATTCACATGCATTGCATTACTATGAAAGTTAAAAGGGGAAGGAAAGGGGAATGTTAGAAACTACTGCCCTCCGTTCAAGTCCAGCAGAATCTCAGCAGAAGTTCTTGCCAGAAGTAAATTCTGGGTCTTGCCAGAAGTAAATTCTGTTTGCAATTAAAGAATAAAGACTGGTAAATTTATTCTGATTTCATGAACTCTTAACAGGATTTTATCAAATAATCAAGTAAAAAGGAGAGGTTGCCCCTATAATTTTAGGCATTTTCTGTTTCTGAGAAATGCATTATTTTACCACCCTTTACTCAATTGTCTGACTGTCTAGCTCAGGTATCCAGTTTGTACTATAACAAAGGTTTCTTTTTCCTGCAATACTGAATAATTGAAATTATCAATAAGAATTGCTTGACATCATTGTGGCTTGCTATTGTTTTCAGAGTGCTTCACTCTTATATAAAATATCTTTACCTTTTCTTTGTGTTTGTATCCAATTTTGGACTAATTTCTAAGTCATGTTAACAGAGCATGGGTGATATTGTCATTCTGCTGCAGCCGTATAATTAGGGGAGAAATTACTTAAAACTGACTGCATTTATCTCACAGATGATTTGTTTGTTTTTTGTTTACAGGTTGCACCACTGTGCTTAGGAAGAGCTGGAGCATGTGTTGTGACTGTAAAACTCTGAATTACTTTCTCTGGGAAGGTGACATTCTCCTGTGTAGACTCAGAGGATTACTTTTTCCTCAAGCAAACTACGAGTGCACCAATCAACACCAAGTGCAGGATATCTACCACAGCAAAGTGTTTGGTCTGAAGCTGACATGATGTTCTTATGGACCAATATTAAGCACTTTTAAAAAACTTCTGTTATGCATATGTTACAAGAATTCTACTTGTAAGAAAGTCAACTGCAAACAGCCAGTTGGCCGTAGAGGACTTCTGTTTAGGAAGTGCTAAGAAAATGAGTGAACTCACTATCATAATCAAATGTTATGGTTCCGGGGCCTTGATTTCCCTAAATGCAGAGCAATGATGCTATAAATGGATATACTTTGATATAGTTGGGTCTATCTCTGGATGAAACAAGTTATAGGATTGGACCCCATAGATTTAAATTGCCTGTAATAAATGCAAATAGGTATCTGAGTAACTACAAGGCAGGCTAGCAAACCAATGCAAACTGTTGTAAATGGCAGGTGTAATGTCTGCCTTGGAAATGAAGTTGTGTATTTGGTGACTCTTTTGCACTTTTTAGCATCACTCCTAGTTTAGCAAACTTTTTATTTAACCAAAGCCTTATTTTAAATATTGTCTTATGCTAACAGAAACCTGCTATTTAATAATTTCTGACAGGTATTTTTGACATCCAGTGTACTTTTTGGATTTTCAAAGTTGTTATGCAAGATGCAGAACATCATACCTTTTTCTCTGCTTTGGTTCTTGTATTTACTTTGCTGTTTGTGTGCATTATTGGAAGAATTCTAAAGTGTGATTAACAATTAACCAATTTAAGTTTTATATTTGCACTTTGGAATTTTTGAAGCATTCCATTACATCTAGACTAATTACATTTTTAAATGAGGCTTTGCACTACTATGAGAAGTATAATTTTATAAGATGAAGAAATTGTCTGTCTTTCCTGTAAGGTTATTTAAAAATGTAAAGGGCCCAATCCTGCCAGATGCTCAGCTGCCACCATTTAAGCATGTTCAGCATCTTACAGGACAGTGAAGTGTTCCTCGCAGGTCTGTATCAAATTAGTTACCTTATTTAACAGTTACCTAATTTTTTAAGATACTTCATAATTTGCCTTTCTCGAGCCCTCTGCTGTTACACCGAATTGCTTTGGACGGTCTAAATGTTCTCGGGAGAAGTCTTTTTGTATTTGCTTTTACGTGCCTTGTCCCTTATGTTCCCCGAACAGCACCGCGCGTGAAAAACGGGAAGATGTGAACTCATTGAATGTTTTGGGTTTGTTTTTTTTTTAAAAAGTTTGAAGTGCCCGATACCCAAAGTCCTTTGTACATTTGTAATTTTAAACATGTGTTTTAACGCTCTCGGCGAACTATTTATTGTTTTAAAAGAAATCGGTGACACTTTGTGATGAAGCTTTGCAGTTGGAATACAGCTGATCTCAAGAGGCTTTGCTGGCGGGTTGTGTGCCTTTATTCCCTGGCTTAGAAGCCCGTTCTGCATGCCTGCGGTCTAAAACCCTCCTTTTCCTCTGAGAAGCGCCCGCACCCTACTCTGTGGGCCGCGGCCTCACGCAGAGCTCCTCCCGCGGGGGGCCGGGGCCGGGGCCGGGGCCGGGGCCGGTCTCCGCCCGCTCCGTTTCCGCGGTAACCGCGGCGCCGTGGGCGGGCGGCGCATGCGCGGTGCCGGCGCTGGCAGCCCGCGGGGGCCGCGATGAAGGTGGGTCCGGGCGGCCGCGGGGCGCCGTGGCCCCGGGCGGGGTGGGGCGGGCGGCAGGGGGCCTGGTGTGTGCCTGCACTCCCGCGTTTGTTTACTTTCGCGTGGAGAGACTTCGGGCAGAAGGGAGCTTAAAGGGCACCCAGTTGAAACAGCTCTGCGAGGGGCAGGCACATCTTCCACTAGCCCAGGGCTCCATTCCAGCCTGGCCCTGTACGTTTCCACGGGTGAGGTGTCCACAACTTGTGCGGGAAACCTGTACTAGTGCCTCTCCACCCTCGCCGCAAATACGTCTTAGTAACTAATCTAAAGCTACTCTCTCAGTTTGAAGCCATTCCCCCTCGTTCTGTGGCTGCATGCCCTTGTAGTAGTCGGTCTGTCTTGTATGTTTCCTCAGGTTCTAAAAGCCCACAATTAGGTCACGCCAAAGCCTTTACTTCTCCAGGCTGAGCAGTCCAAATTCTCTCAGCCTTTCCTCATAGATGGAGAGGTGCTTCATCCCTCAAATCATCTTTCACACAAGCCCTCCTCCTTAAATTATTTTTCAAAATCCAACGTCATTGTCAGATGTCGTTTATGACTGCGGCATGTGGTGGTTGTGGTTTTGCTGTTTTTGTGAGCAGAACACAGATTCAGTGTGAAGAATGCCTCAGTTGACATTGACCCAAAAAGAAGGGATAAGAACCTGTGAGGAAACCTCACAGGCGTTTGGTGGACAGCGGGTGTTGGTGTTTGTCTTATGACATGTAGGGATATAAGTCACGATAGCAAGCTGTGAAACAAACTTGTGGGCTTTATCTTACACCCAGGTTGCAGAAAAATATCTGCGGGTGGTGTGAAAGGAAAAGGATGTTCAGAAGTTTTCTCTGTTGGAAGTCAGAATCTCTTTCTATAGTGTGTTGGTTTGAGATCTTAGCTTTTAAGACCCAGCAATTCAGAGTAACAAAAAGGTTGCCTATCTCTAAAAGAGTGAATGTTGAGCCTTCTGTCTTTACAAACTAAGGATGCTTTCTGGTCCCAGGCTTCTCCATTAAATTCAGAGAACTATTACCAATGTGGTCTTTGAACTAGAAGGGGAGAGTCTCATGCAATTTTTATTATTTTAAATAAGAGGCAAAAATAATAGTTTATTATTATTAGAGTTGCAGTTCTCTATGTAAACACCCAGCAGCAGAAACTTCAGTTTTTTCCACTCAAATTGAAAGAATGTTTATCTGGGATTTTGGTACTTCAGTGCATTGGAATCACACAAAAGTTGGATTTGGATTGTTTGGGGGGGGGGGGGGGGGGGGGGTTACCTCCACAGTACTCAGTTGCTAACATGCTAGGCAGCTGTAGTATTCTTATTTATTATGATTTTAAGATGTATCATTTCCTACTTTTTTTTTTTTTTTTCCCAGCAAGTATTCAGTCTGTATGAAAAATCTTGGTCTGGTTCTCCTGTGCAGTTTACTTGGCAGAAAACTTTAGGAAATTTTCTTGCTGTAATAGGGTAAGACTGCAACTATTCATTGCATTTGTCCACCAAAATTATTGGTAAAGAAAGGGAATTATTCTATATATTAATCTTTTTTAGAGGTGATCGTTCTGTGAAAATTTTTGATCGTCATGGTCAGAAGAGAAATGAAATCAACCTGCCGGGGTAGGTACTAAGATAGGTTTATATTTTTTTCTTTGTTGTTTTCTTTAAAAATGCTTATCTTCTGGTGAGGTACATTAGACAATGCGAGAAATTTGTAGGATGATATACTATCTCTGGTGAACATACCTGGCAGAGAAGACAAATTATGTAATTAAAATGTAAAAAAAAGACCTATCACACTAAGAAGAATCATAATGAGGTTGTGTGCAATATATTCTTGCATTCTTGCTACTGTTGATTTTCTAACAATTTGTTATCATGGCTTTGCTGAAGAAAGATACTTCTTTGGTTTAGTGCTTCTGTTTACATCAGTGGAATAAATGTACACATTGGCATTGTTGCTTTAGGTCAAGGTGATACTTTTTTCAAAGCTTATCACACTTTGGTTCACATCAGGGAGTGCTATGGGAGTTTACAAACTGAATTTTTTCAGATTAAATCTAAAAACTTAGGTACTTTGGGAGATATACTGAACTTCTGAAAAGGCAGTGAGACCATAGGAACAGGCTGGATATGGACCAGGGGAAACCTCTCTAGGGAAACAAATGGCGTGACATTGGGTCGTCATATTTGTTTGCTTAGTAAATACATTTTTATTGAGCACCATTAATACCTCATGTTAGTTTCATTTGTGTACTGTTCCTCTCTCTTAGCACTTCAGCTGTTCTTAGTCCTCATGGAAGTTTTTTATTTTATTTCTAACTACCTGATGAATTTCGATTAAAATAAACCCCTAAGTCAAGGCAAAACTCCCATGGTCTTTAAGGCTGAAACCTCTAGTCAAGAGTATAACTTAAATTTCCAGACTATCACTTATATAGCCCCGTGTCATTGGTAAATATGAGCCAGAATCACTTAGTTCCCCAAGAAGTCTAGAAATCCAGTCTTTGTAGTTCATGGTAGTTGCCACCTTGCACCAAACCAGGAGATGCAATTCTCATTGTCTTTACCAGACTCACATGTATTTCACTGACCATCACACCTTGCTGTTTGGGTTAGGTGTCATTCATAATATGGTCTGACTGTGTCAGTCCCTTTTGCTTGGTAACATCCGTGGCCCAGCTCTCTGTGCAGTGTTTTGCACAATGTGTGATAAATGCACGTTCTCTCCAGAAAACTGTCCAAAGTGAGGAAAGCTGTGTGGAATCTGAGGTGTATTACCAGAAAAATATTCCCAGCTCTGAATAGCTTCTAACAAACCACAGCCTTACAGAGGACTCTCAGTGTCTCTTGAAAATCAAAGTGACAGTATTTCAAGTACTAGAACATAGGTAGCAGTGTCTTTTATGACCTTCCTCTCAGTCCCTGTCATCAGTGAGATTTGAATGAGAGTGGGGCTGCTATAGATCTAGTTTACAGATAAACCTGCAGTCTGGGTTTGCAGGGGAGGAGAAGGGGAAAGTAGGGGCTCAGTTGCATAGTACTGGCTGTTTCTGTAAACTTACAAATGCATTTTAACATTCCTAGTGATTTTTTTTTTCTTCAGTAACTGTGTTGCTATGGATTGGGATAAGGATGGAGATACTTTAGCAATAATCACAGACAAATCTAGCACCATATTTCTGTGGGATGCAATCACAAACAAAACAAGCCAAGTAGACAGTGGCATGAGGTAAGAATTTTTTTTTTTAACATGGGTATTTAACGACTTGGACCACTGTGACTTGTTGATGTGGAGGCTATATTTCAAGATCATCTTTTTATTAGAGTCCTCGTAATATATATACTATTTAAACGAATATGCTACAGTTCATTGCTAAATTATTTTTAATATGATTTTCTGGTTTTGAAGTGTTTATTGTGGATGGGAATTTTGGGGGTTACAGGGTGTTTGTTTATTTTTTGAATGTCAGCAGTGCCATTGTCTCTAGAGAGCTTCTCTTCAATGTTTCGACTTTGTGGTAGCAACAAGGATGGGTAAATTTTTCATGTATCTGCACTTGCTACTCTTTCTCCTAAGTCTTTCACACCAGCTAGAGGGAGCTTAAAAGTGAGGGAAGTGATATCTGTGGTGCTAAGAATTTTTTCCCCCTTAGATTAATAAGGGGGCTAAAATGCTATTCACAAAGTAAACTAGTTTAGGATGAAAGGAGATATCTAAGGTTCAAAGCCTTACCTTTCTGAATTTGGCCACAGACTTTAGACTCTTCTGGTGTCTGCATAACCATCAAGCATGGGTTAATAGATAAGCTTGGTTTAACAATTGAATTTCTGGCTTCTTTGAGTCTATTCCACTAAACTTTTACATTCTATATAAACATTCCTCCTGTAGGAGAGAGAGTGGAAACAACTCTTTCCTATGTTTAAGATGTATGTTATACACATATTATATTGAGGGAATGAACAGACCATATTGTACAGTTTTCATGTGTGAGCAAATACTATGGGGAGAAGAGTAACCTGCCAGTATGCAAGCGGAAAAGAAAATAGACGGTACTTAGCAGAATGGAGTCTGCAGTTAATTGCAGTTCCTTCATGATCTTTTTCTCTAATACTGGAGGTAAATTGTTTACTGGAGGCAGTCTTGCTAGAACATTGTATATCAATGTAAGTTGCTGATCCTTTTTTGTCACAGTATTATTGCTTAAGCAGAACAAGCACCAAGACATAAACAGTGTGATAATGAGGCTTTTCTGATATCCTTCCCTTTTTGAAATTAGAATAGCACCCTTATATGCAAACCAAATATATTGGAGGTCATTTCACATGTCAATATTTCCAATTTCTATTGCGTGCCTAGAGTGAAACTTAAAAAGCTGGGAGGGCCTGCACTAATTAGAAAATTCTGGTTTATAGTTTTTTGTGCTTAGGAGCACAAAACATGATATATATATTATCTGTATAGCCTTAATTATACACCAAAATAGGCCTTGATCTATCTGAAACTTCAAGCTAAAATAGATCTTTCTAACTTCTTTATTGCATTGACTAGAACCAGACCTACTCACTTTTGAGTTGGCTAAATGCATAGGGTTATTGAAGAACAAACAAAAAAGCAATACAAAAGGCGACTGGAAAATTAGCAGTGGTTCCATCAAAGACTCTTGATGTTTGCAGACCCATTTTCATTTGTACAAGTCATGTTACATTGCCTAATTAAAATTTTTATTACTTTTACTATCTTGTGCATACTTAGATAATTCTGATATTGGTCGAGAACATTTGCCTAATTTGAAAGTTCTCCTTGGTCTGTATGACTCATAGAAATTAAAGACAAATGTAAAATTTATTTAATTTATTTTTAATGTGTGAACACATGAAAGGAATCTCTACTATACAAAGTAATTTTTTTCTTTGTTTTAGGGATGCAATGTCTTTCTTGTTATGGTCTCGAGTTGGAGCTTTACTTGCTGTTGGAACAACAAAAGGAAACTTACTCATATATAACCATCAGACTTCTCGCAAGATTTCTGTTCTTGGTATGGACTGCTTTGAAACTACTGTGGCACATGTAAAAGTGAAATTTTGCTAATATACATATTTTCCTTTCCAGTTCTCTGTATGAACATGCAGGTAAAAAATGTGTTTATACTCAACTTGCACCTTCTACTTTGGTGTAGTCAGGAGCGTATTTTTAGAGAATACTAAGTTTATATATATATATATATATGTATACACATACACACAAATACGTAAGACTGCCTTACTGCCTCCTGGGGAACTTGTGTTACCTGTCTTGCAAAGGAATTGTGTCATTGTTCATTTGCTAAGTTACTCTTTCTTACCTGCTTAGAGTACCTCTGGGTATAAAGGCTAAGGATGTAACACGTTCCCCAGAAATGTGGTGCAAAGAAATGGAAGAACAAGGGCTGTACTGTTTCATATAAAGTCAAAAGACTTCCATCTGAGAGCAGATTTTTATAAAAAAGGCTCTTGCTCTGACAGGTTGTTTCACATTCTGACAATCTGTGTTTGAGTGGCTGAAGGATGTATATTTCCATCACAGGTTTTTTGTGGGGTTTTTTTGGTTTTTTTGTGGTTGTGTTTGATTTGTGTTGTATAGGTTTTTTTCTTTTTCAGGTAAACACACTAAGAGGATTACTTGTGGCTGTTGGAGTATTGAAAACCTCCTTGCTTTAGGAGGTGAAGACAGAATGATTACTATAAGCAATCAGGAAGGGGATACTATAAGACAGGTAGTATTTATAATGGACATTTGATTTTAAAATGTACTCCTGGTTTCCAAGAAAGCTGGGGCCTATGGGAGCTTGTGCCTTTTGAATCCCAGGACTTTCAAGGACCAGGAGCTCTTTCTTTTTTCAGTATATTTTATGCTAACATGTCATTAAGACCCAAATTGAGGTCATGTCTTCTCCAATGATTTTCTTGATCTTGGTACTAAATGCATTAGTAACTTTCCCTGTCTGTCCTTGTGCAAAACTATACATGGCAGAAATAATGCCATTATTTATCACCAGTATGGGCTACATTGACTGTTGATTTCTCAATCTGCCCTTCTTTCTTGCAGACCTCAATCAGCTCAGATCCCAGCAACATGCAGTTCTCAGTTATGAAGACTGATGAAAGAGTATCAACCAGGGAAAGCACAGTAAGAAGTCACTACAAAATACTGTAGTTCAAGTGGGAATAATCTAACAGGATAACTCCATGTGGCCTGCTGCCTTTTCTTCTGAGGAAATGGAGCTGACTTCTGTAGGAGAAAGTCTTGAATTTGAGATGTGTATTCTGCTGAGCTTGCAGTTAGACTTGTGAACCACTGGCTCATGAAGGGGAACATCCTGAAAATCTCTTCTACTGTTGATGAAGATTCAGAATTCAGATCCATGGGATTCTTAAGGATTATTCAAATTCCTAGCTCTCATCTTTTAGTGAAAATATAAGGCCTTACTTTAAAGTTATGCTATTCTTGTCATGTTAATTTTTCTTTTCATTCATTGGCAGGTCAGTGTAGTGGTTGGCAAGAAGACTCTCTTCCTCTTTAATTTGAATGACCCTGATAACCCTATTGATCTGAAATTTCAGCAGCCTTATGGCAGTATTGTAAGCTACAAATGGTGAGCAAAATTTTCTTAATTAATTATTCTAGTATTAAGAAGTTGAATATTTTCCAATTAGTTCTGATAAATGCTAGAAAGAAAGTCATCTATCCCGTGCTCAGACTGGATTTTTCTTGGCTGTATTGTAGACTTTTCAGTAATTCTTTTCCAAACACAAGGTAGTCTACATTTTCTAACTGTTCTACTTGATGATTCAATAGCTATAAAAGCAGTATATTCCAACAGAATCACTGTTGATGTGCTCAGCTTTAAACAAAATATGTTGCTGTCTTGACAGAAGATTAAACTGACGGGTTTATGGCTTGTTTTCTGTTTGGATGAGTAACTGATGGAAGAGCTAGGGGTGGAGTTGTGTCCTTCAGCTAGTTTGTTGGTTTGCAAAGCTGTGCAAAGTTCTTGTAGCCTTCTTAGTGTGCAATACCATTGGTAATGTTCCTATGAAGAAAACCTAAGCTAGAAGTTTCAGATCTGTACCAAAAAAGTAGCTGTACTATTTCTGTATCTTTGAATCATTACAGTTCAATGCCTGTTCAGTCAACATGGAATTGATATCCACTTACACTTTACACTACAAATCTAAAAAACTCTGAAGCTATATGCTTCTTAGTTTATGACCATGTGTAACAAGGTGTACCTGGGCTGTTGCCCTTGCAATGATTTTTCTTGCAGTTGAGCTAATGAGATATTGTTTGAATTCATCTTCACATGCTGTAACTATTTGTGCCTTAACGTCTTCATTTCTACTTGATACTATGAAAAGTAAACAGAATATTCACAAATCTGTTGCTTTGGTACTTCCACTGTGTTTGCAGTGCCCTTAAGGACACAGTGACTGGCATTATTGTTTTGACATGGCTTTGATGGGACCACATAGGCCTGAACCTTGAAATGAGAGTTGCCATCTTCTTGTATGCTTTTTTCAATGAAGATACCAGAAATCTTTCTCCTGGCATCCCTGCCAGGTGTGCAGCTTGCTAAAAATAAAGTGGCATTATAAAAAACAGGAGACAATAAAGATGACTTACAAGGCATCTGGGCACAGACATGTTTCTGTCCTTTAGGGACCTTTGATTGTTTTCCCTTAACCTATTTTATATTATATGGTTCAACATGATATATATAAATTCCCATAATTTGTTTATTTTTTCTTATGTTTTCTGTTACTGGGAGGCATTGACTGTACCACAGTAGTCTGAAAGAAAATGCTTTTTGCATATTGCATTAATAGATCTCTTTCCTAAATTGTTGCTTTTTTGTAACAGGTATGGTGATGGCTATATTATGATTGGTTTCTCACAAGGGTGTTTTGTAGTCATTTCTACACACATTCGTGAAATAGGACAAGAAGTCTTTCAAGCTCATAATCATAAGGATAATCTAAGTAGCATTGCTATATCACAGTCATTAAACAAAGCTGCATCATGTGGAGACAATTGGTAAGTGGTGGTTTTATATATAAAGAATAGAATTAATCTCTCAGGACTGGAGCTACTGGGCATTCACACTCTGCTTCCTAAGGCTTCAAGGCTCCCTGAGAAGTGAATTTAGAAAAGGTAAGATTAATGGCTATATGGAATTGCTGCTCTGCCTAGAGCTAGAAGAAGTTATTACTGGCAAAAATCTCTGCAACTGTAATTAATATCATTAATTGTAAACAAAAAAGGAATAAACTTCAATATGTATTTTTCCTTTTGATTCATTCTTTTTCTGTTATGTTGCTTGGCAACAAGAAAGTCCAAACTTCTTTACTGAGATTTATTGATTGAACATAAACATCTGCTTAACAACAGGAGAAAAATTAATTTAAATCTGCACTGAGTATGTTGATACCTGATATCCTCCTCTCCAGTGTTTGGTCTTATCTGCAGTCTAGACAAAAGTTGAAAAGTGTGAGCAATTAAGGAAATAAATAACTGGAATTAAATACACTGGAGTTTTTCCAAAATGTTTTGTGCATATGATAGAACAGCTCCTTTAGCTTCTTGTCTGCTAATCCCTGATTCTGTGATATCTGAATTCTTCAGCAAAAAAGGACTTATGTCATAGGAGGAGTCAAACTGTTCTCTCTGTTCCCAGCTCTGTGTAGGACCAACTGCTGATTTATGACACTTGCACATCAAGAGTGGTACACCTGTGAACAAAACATGGTGCAACTTCAAGCACTTGAGCTATTGTACAAGATTATTTCTTTGAGGAGTGGTTTAACTTGCATTGAGTGACATGACAGCATAAGTAAACTCTCACTCTGTCCCTTTCATATCCAGCAGGACTGAAAGTATTTTTTGCATCCACGTTGTAAGCCCTGTGTGTCCATCAGTAATGTCTTCTAAAACTAAAATGCTGTAACAGATCAAAAGGGAATAACAGTCTATGTTCCCTAACCCTCATTTCTTTCAAATTGGATTTGTGCCTTTTCCTCAAATTTTCGTTCTCTGAGCAAATACTTTTGTACTGTGATACAGTGATACACTATTTATAGTGATGGATAATAATGTGTTGGTTTTTAGGAAATGGAAGACATTTTGCATTTGTGTTCTACTTTTTGCTCCACTAGGCTGTCTTGGGTTTCTTTCAGTTAATGATGACTGAGGTTTAGATTGGTGGGAATGACTCTTTATTTTTCTTTTAGCATCAAAATCCATGATCTGACAGATATGAGAGAAATGTATGCCATAATAAACTTGGATGATGAAAACAAAGGTATGTTAACTTTCTCCATAGGGATAGAAAATTTTACAAATTAAGTAAACTGGAATTTTGACAGTGTCTTTGTTCATGGAGTGAAAGTACTGCTGTTGGAAAAACTGTGTAAATACAGAGTTTTTCAAAAACTCCTGATTTCCCAATTTGTATTTATTAGGTGACCTGTAGCAAAATGGGAGCATATTTTACCTATTCAAAGTATAGAGAAATACAGCTCTCAGAACATTTGATCATTTAGTGTTGTGTGTTTTTGAATCTGTTACAATGTATTCAGATTATTACAATAATACACTTAACTGGTTTCTGCTTCTTTCCATGATTTTTTGGGTGCTTTTTTGCATGTCTTGTTCTAACATTGATATTTGGTCTTTTCTTGTCCTGATGTACAGGACTTGTGCCTGTGGCTTCCAGAACTGTGTTACAAAACCATTTTCTTGAGTAGTGACTTTCCACCTTATCTCCTCATGTCGTGTTTGTAAATGCTTCAGTTATTGTCAAGTATCTGGTTGCCTCCAGCATTTTTATTTCTGAGAACCTTCCTTTTTTTATTTTTTTTTCTTTTTAAGAAATTTAGGATATTTTCAGCACAGTTCCCTGTCTCCCTTGGAGTATTGGTATTAGTCAGAGTATAGTTTTTTGGATGGCGTTTTCAGACACTGAGGAACAAACAGCAGTTCTGTGTTTAGTACTTACTGATTTGGCAGTAAGGGGAATAGGATTGAATTCTGCTCAGCTACTTCCAGTATTATGGGTCACTTTGAATGTGATCCATAATACTGGATCTTGAACTGCTTGAACTGAATGTGCTTTTTTCAGTGTTGAAAAGAGGAAGAGTGTTGATCAGTTTTGTAACAGATCTGTAATCTGGCCTGGTGGTGGTTTAGGTGGGTTGCACCTAAATGGCCTTTAACGTCCCTTCCAGCTCAAATCACTTTCTGATTTTGTGAAGTCTTCACTCTTGGGAAAATGCTATATTACTTAATTATGTGTTTGAGTTGAGTGATTCTAATTGATCTTGGAATTGTATTAATTGGTTAGCTTTGGTACATATATTCTAGGTATTAATTCCTACAATTTTCACAGTTAAGAGCAAAATAATTGCTTGTTGATTTCAGTAGTTAAAGAAAGAACTATATTTTTTTACAACAACTTGTGAATATTTTAGGTGTAGATCAGATGGCTTGGACAGATGATGGACAGCTGTTGGCAGTATCTACACGAAGAGGATCCCTCCATGTTTTCTTGACAAAGCTTCCAATCCTTGGAGATGCTTGCAGTACACGGATTGCATACCTCACTTCTCTGCTTGAAGTCACCATAGCAAATCATGTGGAAAGCGTATGATAACCTCTTCCTTTTAAACTTGATGTAGATGTAATGAAAATAAGTATTAAAAGTGGATGAAAACTGTATTATTTTGTTTTGTTTTCTTACAGGAGCTACCAGTCACAGTCTCTGTTGAAGTAGAGCCCAATTTTGTCGCTATCGGTGTTTATCATTTGGCAGTAGGAATGAACAATCGGGCTTGGTTTTATGCACTTGGAGAAAATAGTAAGCATAAATTTCGTTCTCTTAAAACTAATGCAGCACTCTATATTTTATTGTATTAATTTAGTATTGTCTTTAGCAGTTCTGGACATTTTATGTTGTACAATAAAAAATTTAAATTGCCAATGGTCCTGCTACGATGGGATAATAATTTAAAGGCTGAAGCAGTTATGGCAGGGCATTGTAAATAATAGAAATAAAACTTCTCATTTGAAATTTGAGGTATTGGTCATGAAATGTAGACTGTTGCTTACTTGTTTTTTTCACGTCATATTGTTTATCAATTAAGAACTTCATGCCTTTGAGACATCTGTATATTAAAGTACTAAGTTTGGCAAAGTTCCTAGGAACTATGATCAGAGAGTTTAAACTTTCAGTTTGGCAGATCTTCATGTTGTTTGTATGGGATAAGAAAAATTTGGTTATGCCGTGTGCAAATTTTAGATAGCGGATTTCAAACGTTCATGTTTTTCTAAGCATCCCTTTTTTCAGTGACAGTAAATTAAATAAAACTGTAACAATACTAGTCAGAGTTGCATGGGAAAAGAGTTTCTTTCGTAATTTCTAACCAGTTCTCTGGCTGCTAAGAAGAAAGTCTCTTTATGTGTGCCTTGTCTCCTCTCTGTTTAGTTGTGAGATCTGCTTACTCAGCTGCAAATTTAGTTAAAAGAAAATCTGTACAAAATCAAAATATTTTTACCTTATCTTTTCTGTTTGAATTCTTTAGATGTAAAAAAGCTTAAAGATGTGGAGTACCTGGGGACAGTAGCAAGTATGCACCTTAATTCCGATTATGCTGCTGCTCTCTTTGAGGGTAAAGTCCAGCTGCATGTGGTAAGAGCTCTGGCAATTTGGATTGCCAGTGTTGAACTAATGAGTTGATATAAGCTGAGCAAGTTAATGTAATATTAAAAATCAAATAAAATGGAATTATATTCAGTTAATGGAGATAAAAATTAGAAATTCTTTGGAATAGTTTTGCTGGCTAAGTAAAATATAGAGCTGAGATTCTGTAGACTTAGAAATACAACCTAGACTAGACTGATGAATAAAAACATTTTCTTGTCATCTATTTAACAAGTTTTATTTTAAAGGTCTCTGGTAATGTGACAGAAGCAGATGCTAGGTTCTTAAGGGATGCATATGCAAGTTCTTTTTCATCTCATTTTCTCACAGGTTGATACAAGCAACACTATGATACCCTATTGTTAACAGTAGAGATTTTCAGTTCATTCTGTTCTTTATGTTTAGATAGAAAGTGAGGGTTTGAGTGCTCAGGAAGAACGAGAAACTCGACTTTTCCCAGCAGATGATGATAAATACCGAATTTTGTGCCATGCCTTAACTAGTGACTTCCTCATTTATGGTACAGATGTGAGTATTACTTCTTTTAAAAGATCTTTTTAGGTGGAATATATTTCTGTTTAGATTTTTTTATTACTGTTCATGCTTTTAGCAAAACAAAAAGTGCATCTGTGAACTTTTGAATGGATTATTTTTTATACAAGAACTTTGAGCAAATACAGTCAAAATTGCATCCAGCTTCCTTTACTGTTGCATTTATATGATGTGCATTGGCAGGAAGGTTAAGTTTTGCTTTTACTAGTGTTTGTTGCAAAACATTGCTTTTAATAGCAGAACTTAATTCTATTGCATTAGTGAGAGGGTTAGCAATCAAAATGTCTTCCAGATATAAGTAAAAACATAGCACTTTCCTTGCAAATTTGTTGATTTAGGTGGTGATGTGAAAAATGTGGACAAAAAGATACTGATGTATACAAATGTCATGGCATAAATGAAAGCCTTGATTTGCTACTGAAGCCTTTGTCAAAAGACAAATTTTTTTACATGTTTCAACAAGGATAGGAATTAAGGAGGGCACTGAAAAAGGATGTGGACATGTGTATGGATTTTTCTGGAGATATTTTTATGTATGAGGGTAGTTTTTTGTCCTTTTAATATTTTCTGGCACTGGAAATACAGGACACATTTGGCATTGTAGTATCATGATCTTTATGATATCTATTGTTGTATTGACCCTACAGAGGAAAGGCAGAACCACTGTCTCTGGTTTAATAACTGCTTTAATAACTTGAGTGATTTTATAACAGATGAGGCCTTTCCCACCTCCTCAGTACCTAAACTGGTACTGGTAAATTTGAAGTACTAAATTTGCAACCAATCAATTTGATGTGTGCAAATACTACCATTGATGTCAAAAGCCACATTTTTAAAAATATATCTTTAATCACACATCAGTTTGATTGCTTTTATTCCCTGAGTTAGGTATCTCTCTTCTTAAGAATGTGTGGTTCTTCCTTGGAAGCAAATTTTGCAGCTGTTTTTGAAGGTTAGGCTTCTCTCAGCAATGAGGCAGACATTTCATTTGTTTAGAGGACTGCACAGATGTCTCTACAAAGCAGAGGGTCATAAATATCAAAACCAACAGAAAACCCCTGAAACCTCCCAAATCCTTTCTTTGTCCCCCAAAAGTTTTTCCTGTGTTACCCAAAACAGAGTGTGAGAATGAAGCAAAAAAACCCACTTAGAAGTACTTTTTTTGAACACTTGGTACTCTAAGATGGAAGACACTACAGCCAAATTAATTACCTGCTTGCCACTTACTAATGTAATTATTAACATTTTCTATTCTTTCTCGTTAGACTGGAGTTATTCGTTATTTCTTCATTGAAGACTGGCAGTATGTGAATGAATATCGACATCCTGTCAGTGTGAGAAAGGTTTTTCCAGATCCCAATGGAACCAGAATGGTTTTCATAGATGACAAAAGTGATGGCTTTGTCTACTGTCCAGTAAGTTAGTGTGGGATACCAATACAATATATGTACAAGCAGGCTTTTCGGTTAAATAGTGTTTTTGTTGGAAAATGAGGAAGATTTTGGCACTCCAGCATGTATGGTGACAGAAGAAATTGTCAAGGAAACTTGAAGATAATTTAATGGTAATGTAAGGAAATAAAATCTGTCATACTAGATCAGGACAATTTAATTATACTAAGTTCCTGATCAGCAATTTTCAAAAATGTATGTGTTTGTGTATTTAAATACAGATAAGTTACTCAGCTTCACTTCGCCTCTCCGTACCTTTTCTTAAAAAATAGTAAATTTCATTTATATAATGTGTATTACTCCACTTCAAATTTAAATTCTTGTGTTATTCAGAATAACTGCTTATAAGGAAACTTTTTCTTAAAACAATTTTCATATTTCTGCACTACTTACATTATTTTTAAATTTTTTAATCACAGCTGGGATGAATATTTTGTTTCTCTCCTTAGTCACTGGGTCGTAATTTTACTTTTGCATTACATGTAGGTAAATGACAGAGTATATGAGATTCCAGACTTCTCACCAACCATTAAAGGAATCCTGTGGGAAAACTGGCCAATGGATAAAGGTGTTTTTGTTGCTTTTGATGATGATAAAGTATACACTTACGTTTTTCATAAGGATACCATTCAAGGTACCATAAGCTCTTTAAAAAGGCTGTTCATAAAGATTATACTATTTTAGTTACTAAAGTAAAACATGTTCTGAATTTTCATTTGTCTTAAAATACATATAGAAATAAATCGTACTGCAGAAGATTTGAAGCAACTTATATTTCTTATGTATAGAAAACTATTTACTTTGCAGGTTTCTCTGTAAGGCTTCAAGGCATTTTGGTCTCAACTCCATAAGCTTCTTGCTATTATAATATTTCATCTGAAAGTTACACATTGTGCTTCAATTGTGTGTAGAAGCATTCATGAGAAAAATCTCAGGATCAGGGTGACAAAACTTGCATCAGGGTCACAAAACTTGTATTCATTGAAAGTGTTAAAGTTGTAAACATAGCCATTTCTATATTTGCAAGAGAGAAACATTGAAATTTACCTACCAACATTTGGAAAAGGACCTTACTGGTTTAGAAGCTTTGCATTCTGTATATTTACTGAAAGAAGTGTGCTTGTGTAATTGCTGCTGGCTGCCAGAATTACAGACCCTGAATTAATGTCCTGCAAATATACATGTTTTCAGCTGCTTGCTATACTTTTTACCATGTAGGGATTTTTACAAGACATCTTTTTTTTCTTCCTGATCTTTGAATCTAGGATCAAGGATTATTTTGGCAGGTGGCACGGAAGTCCCCTATTCCCATAAACCTTTGTTGTTGTATAATGGAGAATTAACTTGTCAGACACCAAGTGGGAAAACAAACAGTATCTATTTAAGTACTCACAGTTTCCTTGGCAATTTGAAAGACTTTGGACCTGATATGCTGAGACAAATGCTTACTCAGACTCTAATGTTGAAAAGGTACATCTGCATCTTAATTATATTGTATAAGTTGTTTTCTTCTGTCCTTGTAGTTCGATATAGCATATCCTGGTGATTTTAAAGTGTCCTGCTGAATATTGATAAATCAGATTGATTTATTGGTTCACATAGCTCTCTAGGCAGACCAAGCAAAGTAAATGACTAGTGATGGTTCAGGGTTTTTTTTTCAGTGTGGAGTAAAAGCCTAAAGCCATTTTTTTCAAGACTTATTCAGGACTTTGTGACAATGGCTCCTCCGAAACTGGCTGAGGGTGCTTCTGTCATACTCTTCTCCCACTGTAATGGAGCAAAGCAAAATCAGTATAATGGAAAGAATGTCATAGTAGGGAAAACAGATGGTTTCCTGAAAAAGTGTGGTAGAAACAGGAGAAATAGAACTGTAAGGTACACATTTGTATTTTTCTTTCTTCCTGATGCATCTCTCTCTCCATGGCTTAGAAGCAAATGTTTTTATGTTTTCTCTAACAGAGAGACAAAAACATTGAGAGGGAGTTTTGAGTGTGAGTAATACTTAAAATTAAAATAGTTGTAAATGTGTTTTATTCTTCTGTAGGTTTTCAGAAGCATGGGAGGTTTGCAAACTTCTGAATGACCAGTCTTGTTGGAATGAGCTGGCCAAAGCTTGCTTACATCATATGGAGGTGGATTTTGCAATACGTGTTTATCGAACATCTGGTAATGCTGGGATGGTGATGTCACTAGAGCAAGTAAAGGTAAAATATAAAGTCTTACCTCGGAAATATGGCAATTTAATTCCTCTTTAGGAATTGCTGAATTCTTGGGGGTTTTTTGTAGGGTGAAGGGGTTGTTTTTGTTCAAACAGAAACTGAGTTGCTTTCAAGGAATATAGAGGATAAAGTGTCCAAACTACAGACTGTTTGCTTGGTTTTCTCTTGAAGTGCTTGCAGTCTCTACTGTAATGCACAGTACTTCTTTCTGCATTTGCTTGAGAACAGCAGAATATATTCATGTCTCAGGCACTGGGAGGCTCTTATTTCCTTTTGTTATTTTTGAGAACATGTTGAAGACTGCTATTAAAAAAATAAAAAAAAACCAGATTGCATCTCTGCATCTAAAAGTGAAATAGTACCTTAACATTATACTTCTGCAAATTGCTGATTTTAGACAGTGTTAGCTGTAGTGGCACATGAGGGCTTGTTCTGGTTTTTAGAATCCAATACACATCATTGTAAAATGTAAGGATATTTAGTTTTACTGTTTTGCTTTATTTTTCTTACTAGATTATGTTATTTATACAGTATTTATTTTCTTTTGGACTACCTCTGCACCTATTATGTCTTTCTACAGGGAATAGAAGACCACAACCTTTTAGCAGGACATCTTGCAATGTTTACTAGTGATTTTAATCTGGCTCAGGATTTGTATTTGGCATCCTCCTGTCCTATTGCTGCCCTTGAGGTATTTGTTTAAGATGTGTATATATTTTCTGCTGGTTTTGTTTCCAGATTAATTTTAGCTTCCGATAATTTTGTCCTTTTATGGTTTTGATCTTGCCATTGTGTGACTAGAATCATAGACTATCCTGAATTAGAAGGGAACCACAAGGATCATTGAGTCCAACTCCTGGCCCTGCACAGGACAACCCCATGGGTCACACCATGTGCCTGAGAGCACTGTCCAAATGCTTCTGGAACTCTGTCAGGGTTGGTGCTGTGACTGCTGCCTTGGGGAGCCTGTTCCAGTTCCCAAATACCCTCTGGGTGAAAAACTTTTTCTTGAATGATACCCAATGTGAAACTGCCCTGACACAGCTTCAGGCCGTTCCCTTGGGGCCTGTATCTGGGCACCACAGAGAAGAGATCAGTATCTGCCCCTCCTCTTCCCCTCACAAGGGAGTTGTAGACTGTGACAAGGTCTCCCCTCTGTCTCCTCCAGGCTGAACAGATCAAGTGACCTCAGCCACCTCTCATATGACTTCCTCTCAAGGCCCTTCACCATCTTTGCTGGCCACCTTTGGACACTCTCTAATAGCTTTAGAGCCTTCTTATATTGTGGTGCCCAAAACTGCACACAATATTCAAGATGAGGCTGCACCAGCACAGAGCAGAGCAGGACAGTCCCCTTCCTTGCCTGGCTGGTGATGCTGTGCCTGATGCCCCCCAGGACAGGGTTGGCCCTCCTGGCTGCCAGGGCTCATGTTCAATTTATCATGGACCAGGACCCCCCGGTCCCTTTCCAGTATCTCATTCCCCAGCCTGTCTGTACATCCAGGTTTGTTCTGTCCCAGGTGCAGAGTCCAGCACTACCCCTTGTTAAACTTCATACAGTTGTGTGTGCCCAGCCCTCTAATGTGGCAAGGTTTCTCTGCAGGGCCTCCCTGCCTTTGAGGGAGTCAAGAGCTCTTTCCAATTTAGTGTCATCAGCAAATTTATTTATTATACCTTTGGGTCCTGAGTCCAAGTCATTTGTGAAGACGTTCATTCATGAAGAGCACAGGGCTGAGGGTGGAGCCCTGTGGAACCCCACTAGTGACAAGTCCCCAGTCTGATGTCTCCCCATTCACTGTAACCCTTTGTGTCTGACTTGTGACCCAGTTGCTCACCCATCCCCTGATGTGTTTATTCAGCTGTGGGCTGGACATTTTACATAATTTAGGAGACCACATTCAAAGCTTTACTGAAAGTCAAAAAGATTACATCAATTGATTGTCCTCAATCAGCTAGGTGGGTTACCTGATAATAAAAGGAAATAAACTTTGTCAAGCAGGACTTTGCTCTCATGAATTTGTGCTGGCTGTGACCAATGACTGCGTTGTCCTTGAAGTGTTTTTCAGTATCTCCCAGAATAATCTTTTCCATAATTTTACCAGGCACTGAGGTAAGTCTGACAGGCCTTTCATTTCCAGGGTCAACCTAACAGACCTTCCTTCAGGATGAGCGTCTCTCAAATTGTCTGAATCTTTCTAGAATATTAACTCAATATTTGTATAATTTATTAGAATAATTTAAAGTTCAGAATAGAAGTCCAGGTTTGATACTTGCATCAGAAAATGTTACTGTTCTTTGTTAATAGATGCGAAAAGACTTGCAGCACTGGGACAGAGCACTGCAGCTGGCTAAGCGTCTGGCCCCTGACCAAATCCCTTTCATATCAAAGGAATATGCAGTGCAGCTTGAATTCATGTAAGTTCTCCTGTAAGGCTGTAGTGTAAGAATAGTAAACCAATACTGATGCTCAATAGAAGAACGCAGAATTGAGATAGTTCAGATGACTGCATTGCTGAGAGAGGATTCAGTGAGGTCTTGCAGCTCTAGTACGAGGAAGAGAAGTTTTGCAAGGAATCTTTCATGCTAGAGACATGTTAGTAAATCATAGTTCTAATTCTGGTGTATGTAGGTTCTTTGCCACTGGTAGTGGCAAATGTAATATCATCTACTAAATAAATACTTCGGTGCAGGCAAGTGCTTGGAAAATAGAGAAAGTCAAAACCATTTAACACTTCTTACATTGGATGAAAGCCATGCCTTTTGCCTGTCTTTCTTTAAATATCTTTAAGTCTTTATTTTCTTAAATCATTTAGGTAGAGGTGTGTCAAATTTCAAGGCTGCAAATCCCTGAAAGACCGAAGGTGTTAATCATTTGACATGATTTTAAAGTCCATTTAGTAGTTAATTCTTCCCAGATGAAACCTGGTCCGTTTAATATCTAAGAGGAAAAACTTACCTATTAATAGTTTGTGGACAACTCCCTCCCCTGGCAGTACACCTGGCATTGAGAGAGAACACTCGCTGGTCGCAGAAAGGGAGGAATGGGCACAGATGAAGCAATGCAGCCATATGGAACTTGAGTTCTGAATATACTCCAGGAAAAAAAAATTGCCTTTGATTTTGTGTTGCAGAAATTATAAGTAATTTCAAAGATTAGCTTCATTTGTCTTCCAGAAAAATCTTGAATAGAGCTGAGACCATTGAGGTGTATTTTGCAGATAGATTATTTCTAAAGATATTTCTAGGGATTTCTATTTTCTGCCTTTCAAGGGAGATTTATTGGTCCCTGTCCAACAGAACTGAGAGATGGAATTGCCTCTTTGACTAAGAGCTTGATTAAGTCCATAGGAAGTGCCATGACATTCTGTGTAGCTGTCCACCTCTCGCACACCTCACAACCTTCTATGCAGTCATTATGTCTACTTCAAGACAGATACATGCATAATGCATGCATAAAGTCGTAGGAAGGCAAACATCTCTTCCTATTAAAAATATTTGTCTGTGTAACTTCCAGTTTTCTTTTAGGGGTGATTATGTTAATGCTCTGGCACATTATGAGAAGGGAATCACTGGAAACAACAAGGTAATTCCTTTTTAGTAATGATAGAACTGTACTGTCACAGTATACATTAAGTTGTCTTGTTTCAATCTCATTTGAATTCCAGGTTTGAAATTCATCTCTAAATGAAGTGTTATTAAGTCTGTAATATTTTGTTAGTTTGTTTCAGTGCTTTGATTACTGTCGCTTTTGTGACCTGGTGTTTCTAATGTGTAATCTATAGTTACTGCTTTTCATTTGATTGCCAGTACCAGGAACACGATGAAGTTTGCCTTGCTGGAGTGGCTCAGATGTCCATTCGAATGGGAGATGTCCGTCGAGGGGTGAACCAGGCCATGAAACATCCCAGTAGGTTACTGAAAAGAGACTGTGGAGCTATTCTGGAGAATATGAAGGTACTCAAGAGAGTTAATATGAGTTAAGGCTGAATATGTGATTTCACTAGGTTAGTAATTTATTTATGATCTTAATTTAGAAATTATATTTTAATGGTTTCCAATATTTTAGCAATTTTCAGAAGCTGCTCAGCTCTATGAAAAGGGACAATATTATGACAAGGCAGCATCAGTATACATCCGGTGTAAAAACTGGTAAGTACAGGTTTCAGGGAAATGTTATATTTCAGAGGACTTTCTGGGGTACTTTTTGGAAAAGATTGATTCTCTGAATAGCACAAATGCCTCATTAACTATGTTTCATTGATTTTATTGTTCCAAATTCAGGCTGAAAGTTTCTCTCAGAAATTTATGTTGTTTAAATATAGTCTTACTGTAAATGGGAAATATTTTTTTTCCTTTTTTTGTGTGTTATGTTTTAAGTTTCCTGCAGTTTCAAGTCCTTTGTGAGTGTGTACACATGCACACATCCACACTGAATTTAGTGCACACTGAATATAGTAATTATATTTGTGTAGTTACTGTTTAGTTATTTAGATTTCTTCATTTTATATCATGCATAGCTGAGTCTGAGTATTTGGACAGTTGGAAATGATTCAAGAGTAGCCAGTATCATAATTTTCATTTTTTAAGTTAATTTGATTATTCTGAAGTTTCCATTTGAAAAGTCAAATATTCTGAGAGATTTAGGGGCTCAGTTCTGGCCTATTTACATTTTATGGACTCCTTACATTAGGAACCAATTGGGCAGTTCAGTAAGATCTCTTTCATATGAGTACTCTAAAGATTAGGTTGGAATATTATGTGCATTTATTTGAAAAATGAAAATTTTATTCCATCAAAGAATTATCAGTGGTATCAAAATGAGCCAGGAGAGCGCTTGGTTAAGGGGAGTAGCTTGCATCTAATGATCATCTTGATTTGGGAGGTGGGAGGTACAAGCTTTACTCTTGCAGAGGGAGGGTTTAGTTTGAAGAATGCCCATCTTTTAGTCAGAGAGGTGAGATTTAAGGTCAGCCTCTGTTGGGTCTCTCATATCCTTTGTCCTGAAAGGCCAGCTGCTTAGTTTGCTGGTTTTTATAGATCTTTGAAGTTACAGTTTTAATGCTGTGCTTCTTCTGTTAGTCAATCCAAGAGCACCTGTGGTAAAAACTGTTGGTCTAGCACTTCTTATGCTTGTACACCTCAGACATAAAAAAAGAGAAGAGACTGTCTTCAAGGCCTGTATGCTCATAAAGCAATCTGTAATTTCCACTTCTTACCAAGTGCAACTTTTTGAAAATATTAAAATTACTTCAAAGCTTATCCATTATGATCAGTTTCTTCAGACTCCTTTTCAGTGTTGATATAAATATGCCAGTTTTACCAGAGAAAATTTGGAACCAACTGTATTTATTAAATAGCTGTTATCTTTCTAGGGTAAAGGTTGGTGAACTTCTTCCTCAGGTTTCATCTCCAAAGATTCACCTACAATATGCAAAGGCCAAGGAAGCAGACGGCAGGTAGTTTTGAATGCTCTTTTTTAATATAAAACATGTTAATGCGATTGTTGTTATTATTATACATTAATATTTTTGTAAAATAAATTAAAACACATACTGAAACTTGCATAAAATAGTGTTGTGAAAATGGATTCTAAAATAAGTAAGCTTAAGTTTACACTTAGTGTATTGAAGATTTGAAACATTAAGGACATTCATCTGGTATCAAAGATGTGTTTCTAATTAATTGTTTTCCTGTCTAAACATTTATATCTTTCTAACAAAAATCATCAAAAGTTTTAAAGTACTGAACGTCATTCCACTTAGCAGAATATTCAAGTTCAGTTTGTTTCTCACAACTCTTTAGCTGTGATTTTAGAGGTCACTCAAAGGGAGAATAATCATGAAAGAAGTTTTTTAATTGTAGAATCAAATTATTGGTATATCTTAATGGCTGCACTTGCATAATAATAATGCAGAGTTATTAGCTGAAGTGAAAGCCCCAGATGGGTTATATTTAATCACACCATGTAGTTCCTCCTAGTCCTTACTGTAAGTAAACTGCTTCGGAATAATGATACTTTAAAATATGAAACGGCACCAGAGTTCAATGTTTGCATTGATGGGACTAGAAAATACTGTTTCTGTCAATTGCGTAGTGAAAGAATGAGAAATGTCTTGATCTTGTCTACAGAACAGAAAAGAGGCCTTATTTTTAAAATTGTACACCTAGCTATCACATTTGTTTTTTATTGTTCTCTTGCTCTCCAGGGATTTCATATAAAAGAGATGAACTGTTTTTAATATATAGCAAAAGAAATGCTGACAGAGTAGGTCAAAAATAGTATTGTGGTAGACATTTTTGTGTTGCCTCTGCTTTTCATTCTCCTCAGAGAAAATGAAATAGAAACTAAAAAGAATATAGTAAATGCAAAGCGATGCAATTACATGCAAACTGAAAGGAAGTTGCCACAAAGTAATGTCACAGAAATAAAGTACTTTATGTTTCCTTCACAGCATATTATAAAGGATTATTTACAAAGTTAAAACAACTGATGTGGAACCATTATTTTGCAGGTACACGGAAGCTGTGATAGCTTATGAACATGCAAAGCAATGGGATAGTGTAATTCGACTATATTTGGATCACCTAAATAATCCTGAAAAGGCTGTTAATATTGTGAGAGAAACACAATCTCTTGAAGGAGCAAAGATGGTGGCCAGGTAACAATCATGTTACGCACAATAAAAAGAAGTCTATATCTACTGGGAATTTATGAGGCTTGCTAACATATTAGACTCTGGTTATTGGTGCTTGGCTAGTGACTGTGTAATTCAGTTAATTGATTTGAGTTCTCTAAGATTTGGACAACTAAATAGTACTTTTTTTTTTTTGTTCTTGTTGGCTTTCTGAGTAAAATTACATTAATGTGAAGTAATACATTTAGACAATAATAAAAAATTGCCATTCTGTATTATTTATACTAAGTTAATTTCAGGAACCTCGTTAAAACAATCGAGATACAAAATGGATTAGAAGTGTGTCATATTTGTATGTACATTATGTACTATATTCCTAAAACATTTGGTGTATTCATTAAGCTCATTAGTACTAAGGTATTAATTTGCCACTTTGATTAGATTCTTTCTGCGGCTTGGTGACTATGGTTCTGCCATCCAGTTCCTGGTTATGTCCAAGTGTAATAATGAAGCTTTCACATTAGCTCAACAGCACAACAAGATGGAGATTTATGCTGATATCATCAGTGAGTATTCCAGGCTCATAGTTTGCTTTTGTTTTGCTGTTCTTTAGGTTAATTTTAACCAATTTGAAATCATAAGACAATGGGTGTTTAGTTTTGTTTCCCATTTCCAGTCATCGTGCCCAGATTTGGTAACATGTGTACTTCAGGCTTACAAGCCAGACTTTGCTTTCAGCTTTGCTATTTCCTTGGTTTTCAAATCTTGCCTGTCCTACAGATTTTTTTGTTTATCCATAGAGATAAAACATTTAGACTATTTTTTTTGTGCCCATTGAGAAATCCCTGTCTTTGACCTTGATACAAAATGGAGCATTTCAGTGGTACAGTTCTTGATTTTTGTTCCCTTTTCCTTTTTGCTTGGTTCCAGCTCTTTTCTTACATGTCACTTTTTTTCCTTTTCTACTCTTTAAGACCCTTCATGGCCTCCTCTTTTATCAGTGAGAAATGGAAAGGAGATGTTACTGAGAAGCTGACTTTTGTCTTAGGCCATCAAGCCAGTCAGAGTCCACCTTGTCAATTTGCACCAAATTTTATAGTTTCCATTTGTGTGAGGCACCTTTGAAGAGTGCCCTATCAGCTCCACATGTGTATCTCCCAAATTCTCATAATTTCAGTTAATCTCTTTGTTTAGATGTTGATTCCTTATTGTGAAGGTTATAAAAGCTTGGCAACAGTTAGCTTGTATATGTATGGTTGCAGATGATTGTTAAGGTGGCCACAATTGTTCTACAGTTCCTTATGCTTTCTAACTTCTATCCAAAATAGGATGTCTCAAGCTGTAATCTAATTGGGTAGAAAAGGAGTTTAAAACTATCTTTGGAGTAGTGGCTGCCTTTGTTTTACATGTGTACAGCAGAATGGAGTCTTGGTTAGAAAACTTAAGTAGTACTCCCTGCTACCATATGGTTGCATTGTCCCTGATAGCCTTGCTTTGTACAAGTGTGCTTCCATATTCTGAAACTGTGAAAGTGATTCAGGTGATAATCTCATCATCACTTGCCCTGCTTTATTGTTGCCTGGATGTGATGGAAAAATTCATTATCAGATCATAGCAATGCCATTTCATTAATGCTTTCTTAGAAGAGAATGTAGTGACAGGATGAGGGGGGATGGTTTTAAACTAAAGGAGAGTAGATTTAGATTAGATATTAGGAAAACTTTATTTACTGTGAGCATGGTGAGGCACTGGAAAAGGTTGCCCAGAGCAGTTTTGGATGTCCCATCCCTGGAAGAGTTGCAAGGCCATGAAACTCTGATGGAACTTTTGGATGGAACTCTGAGCAAGATCGTCTAATGAAAGGTGTGCCTGCCCATGGCAGGGGGCTTGGAATTAGATGATATTTAAGATCCCATCAAACCCAAATCATTCTATTATTCTGTGATTCTGTGAAAAACAGAAATCTCGTTATGGTGTAAGACCTGTGGAAACAATTATTTCACTATGTTATTAGCTCCTAATGTATGTTTAGTCTGATTAAATAGTAAAAAAATGTGTAAGACGTAATTTGAGTCTGTCTGCTTTGGTTTTCTTTGAATGTCAGTAGAAAAACAAAGTAGAATAGGAATATGTTCATTCAGTAGGGTCTTTGTCTTATTAAATAAGAATACTGTGCCATCACTCAGATGTGTCTGTTACAGGTTCTGAAAGTACTACCAATGAAGATTATCAGAGCATTGCACTCTATTTTGAAGCAGAAAAGAAACATTTTCAGGCGGGGAAATTTTTCTTGCTGTGTGGTCAATATGGACGGGTCAGTACTTAAAGGATAAGCCAGTGAAAGTTAAATGCTTATAGAAACTGTTCAAAATACAGTCTTCAGGAAAGTTCATATTAGATTTTAAGTGCCTTAACCGATGGCATACTGATATTTTTTTAAAAGGGTAAAGAAGGTAAGCAAACTATTTGCATTTACAGTTATCTAGGCTGTGTTCCATGAATAATACATTGCCATGCACATAGGTTTTTCATAGCAGTAGAAGCTTGAGGTGAATCAGTGGTAGACTATTGTCAATGAACCTCTGAACATCGTGGTCTGCAGCAGCAATTTATTTACATTTCATTGGCTTTCAGTGGAGACTTGGTTGCAGAGTAACTAATTAGTTTAATTGCTGTAGCATGCCCTAACTGAAAGCTTTTTTTAAAAAGAGAAAATATGTTAATTGAAGTATGTTGATTGACACACTTTTGATCAGTTACAAGTGTGTGAACTGATGCTTGTTAAATGTTTGACTTTTGTGTACTGAACACATACCAAAAAATATGACTGATTTTTGCAAATTATGGCCATTGTAGACGACAGCTCCTTCAGCTGCGGAATGGAGGGTCCGTGACATTAAAAATATTATGTGATCAATCACATTGTGACATTAATTACATTAATCATTAATTTGTTCTCACCATATTGCTGTGCACATCTTTCACAGTCAGTGAAATGTACACCAGAATCTGGCAAAGTCTCAGTTACTTCTTGCATGAGTATCTGTAAGAGCAGCTGCTACCTCTGTAGTTGAGATAAGCATTCAGTGTGCCACTTGTCTTATCAAAACGCAGAGAGAGAGAACGTGATAAAGATTAGAAAAAATGAGTTTCATGTATCACAATTTTAACTTTTCTTCTGTATCATTTTAGGCATTAAGGCACTTCTTGCAAAGTCCAAGCACAGAAGATAACTTGGCTATGGAAATGGCAATTGAAACAGTAAGCAACTTTGTTAAAACAAAATATTCTTCATCTTTTTAAGAATTTTACCTTCAGTACTATGACATTTTCCCAGCATCACTGAGTGTGTTTGGTTAGGTTGCAAATAGAAGGAAAACTGTATCAGTAAAGACGATATCTAAACATGTTGAAAAATCTCAACACATTAGAAAATAAATACAAACTGCTGCATGTCAAAGCTGATACACCAAATAATCATCTGGTTTGAACATAAAGAACTAAAAAAATCATGTTCTAAATCTATGCAGTTTCAGTGCTTTATCAAAAGGCTGCTTATAAGTAAGTTATTTTTCTCTTCTTCTTTCATATCATAATTTTTTGTATCTTTTTTTAATAGGTGGGACGGGCAAAAGATGAAGCCCTAACAAATCAGCTGATTGACTATCTTATGGGAGAGGGGGATGGCATGCCCCAGGTATTGTATTTTTATCACTGCTATTGTGTCACATTTCTGTGCTACAAGATATTTTGAGCTTACTTTCTCCTAAAGTTCTTAGTAGGCACAGACTCTGCTTTAGCTTTCGTTAAGGAGCAAGACTTGTATGATCATTCCGTGAGTTATTCACCCAGTAACTCCAGATTCAGAAATACAAGAAAGGAAGCAACTATCTTAGATACAGTCATCTTCAGTCATCTTTATGAAAGCAGGTAGTTGAACAGAGGAGGTCCAAATTAATGCTCATAGTGAGAGTAAGAGAGAAAATGTAGCTGTTTGTTGTTGCCAGTTTCCCAGTTGGCTGTTGCCTTTCCCAGCTGGACAGTCAACTTCTGTATGTCTCAAGATGAGCTACAGCACTGATCTCTTCCTGCAGGAGCAGAGTTGTCTGACTTTTGCAGTGGAAGAAAGTAAGGTACGAAGTAGGAGATGCAGGTGAAAACCCCAAGGTTGACCAGGCTATGATAGTTCTTGTGTTCAACATCAGTGTAAGGCATAAAATGTTGCAGACAGATTTTAGAAATCAGCAGCTCCTTTTTGATTTCTGAATGGTGTTGACGATAATAGAGCTTGTTCAGGCGTATTCAGACTTGGGTTCATGGAATTAAGTGGCTGAACCACTTGAAGTTTTACTGCCTGTTATAGCAGACCTGGAATGTGAGCTAAATGGGGAAAGCCAGATCATAGGTGAGGGTGCTGCCGTCTGCTATCAATTGCTTAGTCAAGGAATTTAGGGTCTCATACAAAGTCATGGTAAATACAGTCAGGTGCAATATGATATATATGGAAGAATAAATTATGCCTTGCTGAGGGCAATAACGTTTGGTAATTATGGAGATGACAGGGGCCCAGTGCAGTAAATTGATTTCACCCCTAATATTACAGCTGTGGTTTACAATTCTGTTAGGAAGTTGTAAACTCTTTCTCTTTCCTCCCTGTATGGATTAAGGGTTAGCGATTTTAGACTTTTAGAGACATTGGGCATTTGATGGCCAAGCAAACTTTGGTTTTGTAAAAGGTAAAAAAATGAGAACCAAACCAAACCCCTGTCTCTTTATTATTTACCTCTTACTTTACCTTTAATATGAAATGTGAACTTCAGTAAAATTATGAGAGAAGTAAAACATGGCAAAACAAAAATAATTCAACTGCAAGAACCCAGAGGGAATTAAGCTGTTGGAGGCACTGAATGAAAAATCTATGCAGTACCAGTGTAAGCAAGACTAATTTCGTATTTATGCTGGAAGCTGGATAGAGAGAAACTGTAGCATCCAGTCTCTTTTCTCAGAACAGCAGCCTCATTCAAAGTCCATGGGACTGGGTAAAGGAAGTGAGCTACAGTATAATCTCCATAGTGAGGGCATTCTAAGATTTTAGAAAAGATTTAGGACATTTTTGAATGCCATTACTGCTATATTTAACATTGTTTTGAACTTCAGTGCAGAGCTTTGTTTTCCTTATTTAAAAGCTCTCTCTTGTTCTTCTGAATGCTTTAATCCAATCTACCATAGTCTCTCTCAGTGAGTAACAAAATTTTACTTTATCCAATCATACATATTTGCTTTAAAAACAGTCATTATCTTAATTATGCTATGGAGACTGTTCTTGAATTTATCAAGCAAGATATTATTGTTTTTAGAAAATAGAAGCTTCTATGTTGTGGCATTTTTGTAAAGCTGAAAGTAAGAGTGAATTTAATAGTAGCCATGCAGCAGAAACTTGCTCATCATTTCAAGCATTGATCTTCAAAACCAGATCATCACTGACAGCAGGCTGATTGCTTTAAATCTTTCACAGCCAACAATTGTGTGGCATTTCAATGAAGTGTCATATTATCAAAATTATTATGCTTACCAAAATTTTGCTACGCTATGTCTGACTATAAACTATTTCTTAGATGTCTGGTTATGTCAACTGTTGTGTTTGTTAATTTCAGCATATGTTCTGAATTTGTCATGTGAGCTCTTTCAGGGAACATGAACTAGCAAGGTTCTGCTGTTTTCTGTGTGCATATTTTCTGAGTACATTTGAAAAGAAAAATTAAACTAAAATTATGAATATCTAATATCAAATCAGATTGCAATAATAAATTTTCCAAAGACCTTAGGAAATGTATTGTATTAGAAAATTCTTTCCTGTATTTTCTGCTTTTTAACTTACTGATTTTAAAGGTAGGAGTATGAAAGTAAAACATTGGACTAATATTTCTTGAATTACTTTGACATTTTTCTATTTTCTCTTCTTTTTTTTTTGGGGGGGGGGAGTGGGTAATTATCTAAAATATACTATTTAAGTCAAATATAATTAGGAACATGGCAAATACCATAAAAGACCACTGGTCCATGCTGGGACAGGATCTTTTCCTGCAGCAGAAGAAAGGGGAGAAGCAGCCCGGATGGGGAAGTAGTGCTGCTTTCTGATAATCATCAATGGAATTGCCATCTGTGGCCATTAGATGATGTCAGAAGTTGGGAAGAATTATGTCACAACCCACTATTTTTACTGATTTTTTGTTTAACCCACTAAGGGAATAGCAATTTTTCCTTTAAAGGCAGTTTACAGTGGATAAATAATATCTGTTAATACAAGTAGTTGCAGTTACTTTATTATCCAGATAACTATTTCATTGTTCTTAAGTTACAATTCTCATGATGGTCAACCTTTTGATCATGTGTTACTTAATATTCTGCTCCATCATTAATTGAACAGTAATTACTTTTGGTCACCTAAAGTTTTTCCTTATATTTCAAGTTAGAAAGATTTTGTCTTCTCTTTTCTCTTTCTGTGTGCTATTCTTTCTCTCTTGCTTTTGTTTATGTGATGTTTTTATTTTTTTCTTTGCTTAAGTACAATGAAATCTTAGCAGTCATCTTCTCTACAAGGAAATATCTTTATATCTTGAATATTTCTCTTCCCTTCAATTTCTGGGTTTTTTTGTTGTATCTGAGACTTACACACAAAACCCAAACAGCATTCCAGAAAATAATACAACATTGATTAATACAATTATTGTTGTAGTAATTTTTATACCATTTTAACATAGAAGACACATGTTAAATGTTTGGATTTACTACTAATATTGCAGAATTAGCTGGCTTGGATTTTTTTGCTCTCCATAAAGTTGACAGTGTTTTCTTTTTTTTTTTCTTTTTTACATTTAAGTTGGAACCATACCATTATATACAATATTTAGCTTAATTTAATCCAAATTTATCAGTTATAAGATTATCATGTACAGGCTTTATTTTTTGTTTACCCCATTTTAGAAATCACTATTATTTATTACTTCCTTTATTATTTCCTTTTCAACATAAGCAAGGTCATTTTATTTAGCTTTTATTTTTTATACTTTTTTAAGAGCAATAAATAGAATATTTTTAATATTTACTTATTCTATTATGATATTTTATTTTGTATTTTTAGGAATTACCTCTCGAGGATTTTCTCAATCTCAATTTTCTCAAAACCAAACCAACTCTGATTTGTTATCAAAGACCAATTCTTCTTTCTCTTATTGCTAGTTTTTTTTTTACTGGTCTTCTAGACATTTGAGTACACTTACAAAAATAGAACTCATGTTTGTTTTCTACAATATTGCCATCTTGTTTTTTAGTTTTGTTTCTAAATTATTTCATTAATTTGCATTTGCCATTCTTGAGTTATATAATTACAAAAAATTCCTGGTGTAGCAAATTATAAATTTTATGCATCTTATTAGCTGGTTGTCCCCTAATTTTCAGTTTTTTAGCTCTCTTGGATATCCACCATCTGGTCCCAGAACAATACATTCATTAGTGGCCAGATTTTGTCATCTGCATCCACACCAAGCAGTGTCTGCATCTAGATCCGTAACACAATTTAAGCATTTCTGGCAAGACTTCTATTTCTCAGAGGAGTCCCTGGGTTCTTTTCTGACACCATAAATGCCCACACAGCTGGAGTTGTTCAGTTTGCCCCTGTACAACTCTCCATGTGCGTTGTGGTCTGTGGCTTTGTGCATCCCTCCTGCCAGGGCTTGGCCAGCACCTGCCAGGACTCCCTCGGGCCCTTGGCGTGGGTGCTCTGTGCCTGGGCAACAGCCAGCCCTGCAGGAGGCTGTGGCATAGCTGCAGTGTGCTCTTACAAAGTGCTCTTCATGAAGCAAGCTTGTCTGCTTTCTTTGGAGAATGTGGTGGTGAGATGAGCAAGTCAAGAAAGGGAATACAGCAGTATGAATCTGGTCAGTATTAATCACTTTTCCATGATTTCATTCAGGATGCCAAGTACCTGTTCCGCTTGTACATGGCCCTAAAGCAGCACCGAGATGCTGCCAGAACTGCCATAATAATTGCCAGGGAGGAGCAGTGTTCAGGTAAGTCTGTTTTCCCTGATGTGATGGCATCTCTCATGCTGCCTCCTTAGGTACCCTACTTAGGGTGCTGTGTTTTGTGTAGGGTTCTACTTAGGGAAGACATGTACCGGTGCTTTTAATTATATTCAAGTTCAGTTTTGAACTTGAAAGTAGACTTGGGGAAAACCTGTGGACTACCACCTGTATATTAAATATTGGGGAAAAAAGAAACTCCTGGAAAATATCTGTGTTATTACATTCAAGTAAATATAGTGATGATTAAGACAGCCTATGACTTCACCTTTATGTCTATCACAGGTCATAGAATTGCCATTTCTGGATATGGTTTCTGGCTTGGTACTGATCTTTTATCAGTGGAAAATGGGCAGAGGAGTTAATTTCTGTTGAAGGACCAGACATATGCTTACTTTAAGCTTGGTTTTCCTTTGTAATGGGTTGCTAAAGTTAGAAATAGAAAAAAATAAGGAGAGGGCTAGAAGCAAAATAGCTGCCACCTCCATTATTCAGTCTCCTCTGTAGCCATGGCAACAACCCTACCATAGTACTGCTTGCTTTTCATTTCAATTATGTAAAAGAAAAATCTATAAAGGAAAAATAGCAGTCTTGGGAATAATCCAGGCAAATTAACATTTATGGGCTGTTCCTTGGCTGCTCCTCAGCATTGGGCTAAGGAGTGGAAAAACCTCTGAAACCCTTGGCAAGTAAATCTCCCAGTCCATCATAGAAGTGAGTAATATATTTGTGCTAATTATATAAGCAGGAAATGCAAAGGCTCAAGGGTTTAAATATTTATTAGCATTTCTGAATCTGAAAACTTGTATCTAAAATGCAGTATCCCATCGTGTATTTCATATTCCCTAGTAGTACAAATGTGTTCTCCAACAGTGTAATAAGAAGCACAATGTTTGTCTCATTAAGTCTTGCAGTAACTGTTTCTTCTGGAGAAGCAGTTTTACATCAGCACCCTCTTCCTCCAGCAGATTTCAGTGAGCTTGATTGTGAAATTTGCACCAATATAGTTTGTTCTTTCCTTAAAAATTCATCTAATAATTATATTTAAATCATACTGCTTGGTATTTTTCTTTGGGAATGCCATTTTAAGTGCAGTTTTCCTTGAAGTTGTTTTTATGTAATCACGTGATTTTAATACTATTATACTGAGAGTCAGTAATAGAATATAAAAGAATAATGTTTTCCAGCAACTAATTCTGAAGGGATATTTAGCTGTCTCACACAAATTTCACAGTTTGTTCAATTGTAGTATATAACAAAACATTACAAATTGCTCTGTAGAGTGAAAACATCTGCTGATAGACAAATACAGGGAGGCAAAGGAGAATGTTTGCTGAAATAACTAGAATTTCCTTTAAATGCCTCCAGCTGCAAAGAGTATGACTTTCTCAGCCTCTAATAATACAAAAAATCCCAAAACAATCAGCAAAACAACCCCACAACAAAACAAGAAAAAAATAACTTTAGAATAGAGTAATTTCAAAACACTACTTGATTTCAGCTACATTGATAATTTAATGAAATCCTGTGGTTTCAGGACAATCCTCCTTCATAACCTTGAAACAGTATAACCTAGTGAAGTAACATTTAAACTTCAACTGTCCCTTGACAGGTTTTGGGTTTGGTTGCAGAGGCAAGGAGTTGCCAAAGCAAATGATCAAGTTAAAGTATACTAAATTAACATTTAAAAAGTAGCTTTTGAATATCTGACATTGAAGAACAACAACAAAAAACTTTTTAAATGCTCTAAAAACATCTTCCACTTTTAAAGTTCATTATATTAAATTGCCATCATATGTATTTTGCTACTGTTTAGATTAATTCTCCTAGAGTAATTTTTTTAACTTCTTAGCTGATACTGTTTAGGATACTGTGACAAGCAACTGCTTGTGGCTTTCCAAAGAAATTGTCATGCAATGGTTTTATTCAAAGGATCAGCATAACTTCATCTTTCCTATATTTCATTAGTAAAGATATTGTTATAAAAAATTAAATTTACTGTTGTTTTTTGTTTTCTTAAGGAAACTATCGAAATGCACGTGATGTCCTTTTCAGTATGTATTCAGAGTTAAAGACCCAGAAGATTAAAATTTCTTCTGAGATGGCTACAAACCTTATGATTCTACACAGCTATATTTTAGTGAAGGTAAGGAAGTGAGAAATTGAATTTCTGTGCAAGTTGCACAGTGTCTGATTTATTGAATGGTATTTATGGATGTTCTGTCCATAAATTATGTTGTTGTATAGGTTGTATCACAGAATCCAAGTGCATGCTAACAGCAAGCTTCAGGAGGACAATCCATAGTTGTTTCCGCCTCTTTGAGTGGCATATTCTTTTTTTAAATACTGAATAATTGAAAATTACATATGGCTTCCTGTTTTCTTTTGCATTCATGCTTACAAATACTATGCTACAACTATTTATTATTGTTGTTGTTGTATTTGAGGTTATTATCCATAAGTAGATCACTGTTTTTCTGTAAATGAAATTAAGCAGGGGCTCAAATGATTTCTATTCTTTAACCCATGGATGCCCATCAGAATATCCATTCCTACAGCCAGCTTTGGCCTCCCTCTCTCTACCAGCAGTGAGGCAAGAGCTGCAGGTGGTGGGCTGAAGGCCAGAAAGACTGGGGAAGAGCCATGCTGAGGTCTCTGGTCTCTTCTGTAGTCCAGCTCTGCTCAGTTTGATGAAGGAGCTGTTGGCATGCAGCTCCCAGCAGGATGAATGAGTGCCCAGAGCAGGCTGCAGGAATTACTCTCCAAGGGCTGCAGTAAATGTGGTTTGTTTGCTGCCTTGCAGATTCACGTGAAACGTGGTGATCACATGAAGGGAGCACGGATGCTTATACGCGTAGCCAACAACATCAGCAAGTTCCCATCACGTAAGTGCTGACAGCAGAGAAGCTGTGCTCTGCAGGGTAGCTCAGTAATCAGCACTGCACTGCAAGGTTCATCCTCCCCTGTGATCCTGTGGGCAACAACAGGGTGTAACTGCACAGCGTGCTCTGCATCCTCCTCCAGGCAGCTCTTCCATACACAGCCTCCAGGATGGCATCCTCACCAGCACTTTAATCTGTCCTCATTTTACTGCAGTACTGAGCAGTCTCAGCCACACATGGTCTCAGCACTGTGTGTAATGAACTGACTGGTTCTGGGACTTCATCACCAAATTTTAATTGAAATTTTTTTTTTTAAATTTCTTACAATTATTTTTAAATAATTTTTTTTAAATTATTTTTGGGTACATGGAAAATGTAGACTAAAACGTAGGCTTTAAAGAGTGCCGACAAGATTTGGGAGAAATGGTTAAAATCAGAACATTCCTGCTGCCATGCTGAGCTTCAGGAGTGTGAGGCAGTGCAAGTTGAAACCATGGTTTTCTTATATATGGTTCCATGAATGCCCGAAATTGTGCAACTGTGTACCATAACAAAAGAAAAATAGTCTTTTCCATCAGTACTTTTTTAAACTGTACTAGCTTAAAGGTTTTAAACATTATTATTGGTAAATAAATACTTGACATCATTGTTTCATTCTATTACAGATATTGTGCCAATCTTGACTTCAGCTGTGATTGAGTGTCACCGAGCAGGGTTGAAAAACTCAGCCTTCAGTTTTGCTGCTATGTTGATGAGACCTGAATATCGGAGTAAAATAGATCCAAAATACAAAAAGAAAATTGAAACAATGGTCAGGTGAGTGATGTTAGTCAAATGCACATAATTTCAAGGCTTTATTTGGGATGCTGTTTTTGCTCATAAAGCCTGTAGACTGTTTTCACATTATTTCATTGTCTTATAGTTGAAAAGCTAAGAACCATTTCCCACCCTTCTCTGAGATTTAAAGACTTTAAATGTGACGAGCCTTAAATGCAACATGCATTTAAAATGCTTCCTAACCAGCAATAGTGTTTTCCATCTTCTCTCTACAGACACAGGTGCAGCCACACAGGTTTAGTTGGTTTCTAGTTCAGTATCCACAGCCAAACTGTTGGCTACTACAGCAGCAGCATTGTGCCCTTATGGGATTCAGATGACTAAATAGCTAAAATAAAAAAGAATGGGAGGGCAAATAAAATATATGAATTCCTGATGTATTCTTCCTTATCTGAAGTTTTGTTTTGATCCTAGTCAGTATTTTCTGCCAGAGGAGGAAGCACAGGTAATTGTAGAAGAGCAGGGCAAGCATATGTAACACTTTAGTCATTTATTCTACTAGTCCCTAACCAAGGCTCAGGGACTTGCTGAGCTCATACTGGTGGTTTAGGTATTTATTTGAGAAGTCTGTAAACTCTCCATGAGCTTATCCAATCTCTCTGCTTAAACTCTTCTAAATGTTTAATGACAGTTGATTCCTACAAGAAGTTCCATTGTGTAAAGACTGGTCTCAAGCTAGTTTAAGGCCTTGTAGTCTTCCTCTTGGGAGAGATCTACTATTTTCTGTGTCATTTATGATTTTAAAGATCTCCATGTTTTATTTATTTCCCTTCTATCAGTTATCTATAAGTTATCTATCTTTTCAGGACCTGAAGAGTCTCAGCTCACATAGTTTTTTTTATGGAAACTGATTTATATGGTGTTTCTCTGAAACTCTTCTTACCAACTCTTCTGCCTTTTTGGAGGCAGTTAGAAGCTGTATAATCCTATCAGGAAGCCAGTTTTGGTACTCCCATTCTTTGTGGTCCTACCACAGAAAAACTCTAAAACAGAGAAACCATAGCTTTATAGGCAGTACCTATGGACCCTGAGTTTTGAAATCTTATAAAGTATTAGGATTAGTTACACCTTTTAAAAGGTGGTGGTGTTTCTAATTAAATGAAAAATTACCTATTATTTCTGAGTTGACATAATTGTGAGGAAGCTCGGGTGATAGTTAAAAGGAAGGAGCTAATAAAATGTAAAATAGCAGCTGGAAGCTATGCAAGTAACTCAAAGGAAAAATACTTGCTAAATATCAAAGGTATTGTAAAACAGCTTTGTTAAGTTCAATCAGCTTGAGGGTTTTATTCACAGCTGTATCTGTGTTTTAGACGTCGGGACACAACTGAGACAGAAGAGCCAACAACAGCCTGTCCCTACTGTGCTTTCCAACTCCCAGAGTGTGAACTTCTGTGTCCCAGCTGTAAAAACAACCTTCCATACTGCATTGCAACTGTGAGTGTCTGCTGAGCTTTCTGCACTGTGACAGTAAAGGCAAAGCTGCCTTCCCTTCTAAAAATAAGTTCATTTGAACTTCTTCAGTTTGCTAGTGGATCCAAGCTAGATCTTTTTATGCATTTATGCAGATGTTTTCTCATCTGTTGCCAAATCTCTTTTTGTCTTTGACTATCCTAAGAGTGTCCTCACTTGCCACCTACAAGTAGCAGGCACTTGAGGGTGCCAGTAAATTCGTGAAGTCACTCTGGGAGACTTCAGCTTCCTGAGAAAGCAGGTGCAGCACCAGGAATCCCAGCACACACACTGGGTGCAGTTGGTGCACTTGGGAGAACATAGACTAGTGCTGCTGGATGCCTTCCCAGCTCAGCAATTTGCCTAGGGGCTCTAGTGCTCAGAGAACTAACAGAAGTCCCTCTTTCCTTTTCCATGTACAGGAGCTTGTGGAGGGCACAGTTCACCTCCCCTAAGTTCCAAGACTTAAAATTTTAAAAAATTAAAAAAAACAAAAAACAAAAAAACAAAAAAACTGAACCAAAAAAACCAACAGAACTTCAAAAAGCTGTTTGGGGGAATTTTCAAGCACACCCAATGCCAATACCCACTTCAGGCAGTGACCTCAGCATTTCTTACATTACTCATCCTTACAGAAATGAGAAGTTCTAATATTTTTTTTTTGTTTCTTTAGAGTGTACTGAAAAGGTAAAGATGGCATACATTCCTGGTGGATGTTACTGTACAGCTACTGTATTACTAACACAATTTTTACTGGGTTCACATGAATTGTCATACTAAAATTGTAGGGGAAAAAAAGAGAACTTACTTGAACAGGAAACAAATGTTAGAGTTAACATTCTTTATTAAAACTAAAGAATTAAATCTCACCAAAAAAAAAATAATATCCATTATGTGGGGGTCTTTTTGCTGTATTGGTTTAGCAGAATAAGATGACAGGTATACTTTAGAAGTAATATCTTTAGGAAAACAAAGGGTTTTAAATATAACTTTATGAGCCAAACACAATGTACATGTTAATGTATGTTACACAATATTTATTTAGGCTCCGTCTTGGTCACAGTTTATGTCACAGTGTTTGTAGACATTAGGACTGTGGCACTTTCAGATATCTAATGAGAGTCAGTGTCTGTTGCATATGCTGTTGCATATCATATTAGAGCATAAATCTCTCAGTATAGTTCAAGGTGCTGCTGAGTTTTTATAGTATTAAAAAGATACATACAAATTCATTCTATCAAAAGTAAACTAGTAAACTGTAGCAAAAAAGATAAAATAAAGAGGCAAGGGCCAGGCAGGCTCACAGATGAGTGATGGATGTGACCTACTGGGCTCAGGTGCTGTGGCTTTGGAGGCATTTTTGGTATGTCATATACAACTTCAAAAATGCCAGTAGATTTAGGTACAGCTCTGGATACAGATCTACAGATAGCATTCTAGAATTCCAAACTAGAAGAATTTTAAACACTGTAATTCAGTATATGCCTAGATTTCCATTTTTAGAAGGGGAATGCAAATGATGACACTGCATCTCTGAGAGCTCCTTTTCTAGTTACAGAATTTACACAGTAATCAAGCTACAGTAACGCATATGTGGGGCTTTTAATTCAAGATATTAGAACTCCGTTGCTGAGACTTTCTCATAATAACAGGTCCAAAAGTAAATGCTCTGTGGCTGGGCAGCACTTGCCCCTCAGTTACCTGCAGTTTCTGTGTGCAGGGTCGGCACATGGTGCGTGATGACTGGACAGTTTGCCCACACTGTGACTTTCCTGCCCTCTACTCAGAATTCAAAAAGTAAGTTGGGATTTTTTTCTATTGGAGTATTCCATTTATTCATATTTTAGCAGCTAATGGATCATTTGGTACTAAAAACATACAACAGCTGGGCTGGGTGGAAGAGGAATTCCCCTTACTTGGTAGTTGCACCTTAGACACTCACAGAACATTGTTTCAAAGTTGACCAAAATGATAGGATATGATAAAAGAATTGGGCCAGTAATGCAGGGCTCCAACAGGAACAGTAATGAAAATGGATGGTGAGCTTGTATTAAGTTCTCAGCTCTGTCCAGGAAGAAGCCTGATATGGGGGTAGGGCAGGAACACAGGCACACCAGCAATCACCAAAACAAACAAAATGCACATAGAATTGGGTACAGACTAAGACAGCAATAATGTCTTGTCCCTGATAATCACACATGACAATGGGATGGGATAGCTCTGTTCCAACGTCAGGAACTCAGGAGCTGCTAAAACCTCCGTTGTTATATGTTTAAATGCAAACAGCTGTCTTCCTGGTGTGGTTCTCAAATGTTGAAAATGTAGACAGAGGCAGCCACTGCTCTGTCCTGCACTTTTTACAGGCACTGGTCAGATCTCTGGTCTAGGCATTGTGCCTCAGGCCAAACTTCCTTTGGAAAATGTTAGAATTTGCTTTTGACCAGTTACCCTTCCTTTAAAACAGCCTGTTACAGACTGAAAATGTGTGTCCCATGTGTTCTGAAAAGATTAACATTGCTGATCTTAAGAAAATAAATGACTGCACAGAGTACCTCAAACTAGAGGATGAGGATCAGTAAACTCAGGTATGGCCCACAGTCTGTACTTCTTACTTAACAGGGTTCATTCTAGGCACTTCTGGAGTTTTTCCTAGTGAGGTTTTGCTGCTGCAACTAACCTGGTTGTTAAAATGTGCTTTAACTCAGTTTACCCCTATGACTACATTAACATCCACAAGCTGTTGTGGTTTGGAACATGTTCCTGAACACCAGGTGTGCTTGAGTAGCACAGAGAACAGTGTGAAAATCTCAGCATCATCCAAACTTCTCCAGCTCTTCCAGCACGGGTTTAGGTGTAGGGGGAACGGCAAAGGGGGGTACTAACTGGAAGGAGCAAATCTAAAATGCAGGTTACCTGATCTTAACTTGCCTATTTAACAGAATCTACCCCAGGATAACAGCAACAAGTATTGGCCTGAAATACTCATCCTTGTAAGAATGAGAGCATGGCCCTGTCTATAACAAAAGACTTAGATCCAGGACTTACTTAGGTTTCTTTTTTAAAAATGGTAACTGAAAATTAACAATGTTCCTCAATCATGTTAATAATTTCAACAATTGGAATTTACTATTGCAAATACCTTATGTGAAAACTCAGCTGTAGGTCACAGTAATGCCTTAAAGCTCTTTGCGGGAAGTTTTAGATAATTTTATTTTTCCTGATCTGCTATTCACAGTATCTCAGAATATAATTAACAACCTCTGTTTATTTCCAGAACTGCTTGTGTTGGCTGGCAAGCAGCAAGGGAAACTCTTATCACTACATCAGTCATCTCTTCCCCAGGCCTAATAACAGCCATGTCACTTCTATTTTGTGATATATGTAACTATTTAGCTTTTGATAAATTTTGTACTTTGGTTTATTGTAGTAATAAAACTGATAATTATTACAAACAAAATCTGCATTTCATCTGCACCAAAGACAAACCATGGTGCCATCTTTGTAATGGGAGTAGCAGGAAGAAAAACCACCTCCCTACTGTCTTCTTTTTCAGTATCAGTTCTGAACTGTTACGAATATTTTCAATTAAACATTTTTTACTCTTTAAATATTCCTTTCTGGTTTTGATTAAAGATATAACTTATACAAGTACAGACTAGTCAAGTTATGGAAGTAAATCCCTCACTGCTTTTCTGTGTCTCTAACTGAACAAAAGGGAAGTTGTGGAAAAGAGGAATGCTACATCATGTACATAAAGGAAAGACAAAACTGTGGAGTAAAGGAGGGAGACAGGACAGAACACTCCATGAATTTACCAAAGCTTTAAAAGAGTCCTGTGAAACATTTTATTGTAATTTTATATGCTGCTTAATTTCTATAATGTACAAATAAGCCATTTAGGTATGGGGTTTTTGCATCATGTACTATTTACAAGACTTCACCCCATAATGTCAGGAGATTATATAAAAAAAAAAAAAAAAGCAGTGAAGTCGTAGGAAGACTCAGCAGAAATGCCAGGTAACTCAGCATGACATTTTCAGCATGTTCACGCACCTGGTGTCTGTTGCACAAGGACAGTTATAGCTTGTAACATATACCATGTCAGGAGTAAGCACAGCAGGCTGAGAGCACAAGAGCTACAGCACCTCTATAAGAGGAGCATTTTCAACGCACTGGTTCTGCCTTCCCAGCAGCAGCAATGGATCTGTTTCATGTTCCTGGCAGAAGTTAGATATGCAAAGCTGTGTCCAAAGCAAGGTTTTACTCTAAATGTCTTGTTTTCTCTTTTCTCTTCCCTTCTTTTTTTGTTGTTTCTTCATTTTTCTCTCTTTTTGGCAGCTTGGAAGACTTTACCTTTTTTTGCTACAAATAGAAATATACAGACAGTTTAAAATCCAGCTGACAAAAGTTTAAGTCAAAATGCAGTCAGTGTTAAGGAAAAAGCCACCTCTTTCCCTCCCCTTTCAGGTGTGAAGTTTCTAAATGCCATGGAGAGTACAGACTACCATATTGAGTCTTAAGGGTTCCCATTTGGTGATAGCTACAAAGGTATTACTAGAATTGTCATCTGTAAGAACCATACGCACAGGCCTGTGGTGGCTCCTTGCCACTGGCATCATCCTCATCAACACTTAAAATATTACTAAGTTTTGGAGCTGGATGCAGAATTTTAGATTTAGAATGATGTCTCGCTTTGGTCCAACATAAGACAATGGATGGAAGTAACTTAGACTTTTCCACACTACCTCCAGTTAAAATTTTAAAAGTTGAGAGATTATTTATTTAATACTTACTCTGATTTTTTTCTTAATTCATTAAGATGATGTTAAAAGTCACAGAAAGGTAACTAAAAACAAACAAAAAAGCCCCAACACCTCAGTGAGGTTGTTTAATACTGAGGAAATTAAATCACCTTAATCATTGCATCACTGTCAACAGAATCCTGCTCATCCTCATCAGACTGGATCTCTTCCAGAGTCAAGTCTTCACTCAGATCTGAGGTCGCTGCAGATCCCGACTGCCTTTTAGATGCCTTGACAGCACTAAGTGAATATGGAGTCAGATGTGCCTCTTTGTTGTAGGCACGTGTAAAAGCTGCTTTGACCTGGCAGGGTGAATGGAAGGAAGGAAACTGAGCGTCAGTTTAGGAACTGTTGTAGACTGTTAGCAACTTACTGAGAGATTCCTTTGGAAAGATGTGACCAAAGATACACAGAAGATGACACTCTCTCAAAAGGACACAGAAAGTGTTTAAAAGCTGTATGGTGAAGACTCATTCTAAACAAGTCCCACGTAATCCTCAATAAAGTGTGCATCTTCAGATGCTTCTTGCTGAGGCCTACAATATTTTCAGCACAGTCACACCAGAGTCCCCTTCAGCAGCAAGTACACTTGCCAGACTAAGCTAAGGGAAAACACCTGATAGTAGTGTAGGTTTAGTTACCAGCAGGTTCTTCTCTTTCCATGAGCACTTGATCTGTTTTAGATCACTTCTGCCTAGTTTGTAAAAGCAATGTGAGCTTAAGCTCACCTTGTACCCACATGAGGAGCCCAACGACTGGAGTGCAGTAGCTGGATGCTGGAAGAGCAGCACATGAAGCACTCCAGGTCTGGCAGTTCTGTCTGACAGAACTGGGAAAGGTGTAAGCTGCCTGGCAGCCTCTGAAGGCAGTGCCTGCTCTGTAACACAGGCAGCTGTGTGTCCCTCCTCCTTCGCAGGATGGTAAGACAGGCAGGGCTGTGCCTGAAGGACACAGACCTTACAGCCAGAGCTTCCTTGTAGGAAGGTACCAGCTTTCCCTGTCCTTCCTGTGTTCTGCTTCTATACTCAAAACACAACTGACTCCTAGTAATCCTTTACACCAGGAATGAAAAGAGAAAGACTTCTGAGTGAAGCACAGTCTAATTATCTTTTAGGACTCAGCCCTGAACTTAGTGGTATGTTTGACAGCTGATTCACAAAGCCTACTATCAATTATGGTTAAGCTGGTCCACCAACTTCAGCCTTTCCAAAGCACATCCATACCACAGCAATTATTCTAGGATTTCTTTTTTAAGATATAGAAGAAAAAAAAATTCACTGGTGAATTTTACCTTGGGATCCAACTTTGAAAAAGGACTGGGTTTGCCTCCCCACGTGCTTATTTCCATGATATTTTCAACATCTTCTTTCATCAAGCAGTAAGAGTCCATAAATGTTATAGCTTGTTGTACACCATCTGCTCCAAAGTCTTTCAAGGGCTGGACAAGTGCATCCCGCAAATACGACAAATATTCCATATTTACTGTCCTCTTGCATGACTGAGTTCTTTGTCAAATTGAAAATAAAGTATTGAGTAAGTAAATCTGTCCAACCAGCACCACTGACTTCTAAAGACAAGAACAAATAGGTAAGGAGGCCCTCAGCAAATCAACAATCAGCTGCCTCAAGAGCAAACTGCAACTCGTATTGTGCCATTCCTTTTGTCATACCTGCATTGGGGAATAACCAATGCAAGGAATTTGAACACCAAACAGTCTGGGGAAACACATCTCTTCAGGGGAAAAAAGAAAAATGCAAGGTACTTGTGACTGACTTGTACAAATTAAGCACTGAGAAAAGTGTCACCAATAACACAGGAACACATTCACAGAACACATGAATGTGTCACCTGTTTGCATCAAGCACAGCAAGGAACTGATGGTAGGTAGTGAACTGCACAAGAAAGCTGTATCAGAGGAATGTCAGTACCTGAGACTCGTGTGCATTGCCAGTTCTTGAATGACGCGATCGTGTTTGCCTGTGGATGAAAATTTCCCCAGCCAGCTGGGAAAGACAGGAAACTGGGACATGTAACCCCTCATCAGCTCCCCTGGGAGAACACTTGCATAAATAGCCTGAAAAAGTAATACATATGCCAAACTCAAATCACACTGAAAGTCTCATGGACACCACGACACGCTGCCCTGCACTGCACTGTCCCCAGGGAAGAGGGGTAGTCAACACAGGGCCACAGTGGAAACAGCTTATTTTAAGAGAACTCTCTCAACTGCTTATTTCTGGTCAATCCCTCTAAGGTTACAGCTTCACCCCTTGTACCACCCTATTTATTATCATGTTCTAAAATACCTGTGAAGTCATCTCGGTTTCAAAACTCAAAAGATAAAAAAAAAAAAAAAAAACCAAACAGACAACCCCAAAACATGGTGTTTTCTCATGTCCAGTTTAGAGTGCAGTCAAATAGCTGACTTCACACAAACAAGCGATTTCCAACACACAGACATGGTGAAGGAGACCTCTCCAAAGAACACTGCATCAAGTCAGCTATGTTCCTAAGCATACAGCTCTTTGGACCTGTACTGAACTAGATGACATCCAGAGGTGCCTTCCAATTTCACCTACAATGCATTCTCTGATGCCAGTCATAATCCTTTAAGCACAAGTCTCGTCAGTGTTTCAGTGAGCATTAAAATAAGTACAGTGACCAAGCTTCAGTCCTCTAAGCTTTGAGAGAAATCCTACCCTGGTGAGAGGAAGGACAGAGCAGGCTTTTAACAGCACAAGTGATACACACCATGTGCTTCTAAGCTTTGTGACAGTCTAACTTTTCCAAGTTTCAGAAGACTTCATTTCATGTTGCAGCATGGGCTCAACAATATGGATATGGGAAACTCTTCTGATCACCAGTGCAACAGAAAATACTACATGAAGTACAAACTGGACAGATCATATAACTATATTGAAACACCAATTTCCACAGATCCACCTTTAACACTGGACATCCCCCCTTAAAGAACATTAAATGAGCATTAAGTGCTCACCTGTGTTGGAAGAAGATTCCAGCTCTGCTTGCTACGAATCTGTCTGTCCACTATATCACCATCACATATACTATCAGCTGCTCTACTCAAGAGCACCAAGTGCTTTTTTAAATTACCTCTGGAAAAAAAAAGAACTTGACTTTACTACAAAGCAGAAATATCCAGATAGGTTTTAATCTACTTTCACTCCTTGACACAAAAGCCTATGTCAATTTAGGGGGTTTGGAGTAACTCACCCAGCAGCAGCTGGTTTCACATGCACATAGTTCTCTTGGACAAAGAGAGGTGCTAGTGAATAATCATGGAAGAAAAGATCTGATTTGTCTATGAGAGACATACGGGCAGCCTCCTCTCCAGTAGCGAAAACCTTCCGGACAACATCGAAAGGGCCCTAAATAAATGACATTCAAGAAGTCAGCAGCTAGATGGTCAACACAGAAAGTAAGACACAGCACAGTACCAACAAAATCAGTATTCCAGAAGTATCTTTACTCATCAGTACAAGCTCCTCATTCAGTATTTCTGCCCTAGAACTTTGCCAGTTTTAAGAACTGTAATTTATTTCTGATACTAAGAGAATTATCTCCTAAACAGAGAACAAAGGATGGGAAGTATGAGCTTCATAATTACATCTTACATAAGAGATGAGTATATCAAAATTTATATTCAGTCCTGGATATACTCAACAATTTGTGGCAAATGTGATAGCTCTTGGCACCTAGGCTTTATTCAGTGCTTCAGTTCAGAAGATGCTTATAAAGCCAAGTGATTATATCAGAATATGACAGTAAAAGCCAATCCAGTATTTGACACTTACCAGTTTGATGTCCTTTTTGGCTCTGCTGGCATCTGTTTTAGCCTCATCATAAGTCAGTGATTTGTCTTT